GTTGATGCCCTTATCTGTGGCGGGGGCATGTCAGGCCTTGCCTGTGCCTCTTTCACCGCGTCCTCCGGGGCTAAAGTTCTCGTTGTAGAGAAACAGTCCACCGTGGGCGGGTCATCCAATTACTCCGCAGGGATGTTGTATGTTGAAGCTAGCACCTATCAATTATAGGGAACACGTACTTATTACCTTAGTGCAGTTGGGGCCCCAAGTCCTACTCAAGTCTGCGCTCATGGGTACCATGGGGAAATGCCGATCTCCAAGCCGCCTGGATGAAAGACTACCTCCCGGCCGTACAATGGATGCGTGAAAATGGTGTCCCAGTGGCGCAGAGATTTGATGGTATTATGACAATTGGTATGTCATTCTTCTCGTTACAGCGACAAGTAATTGACACGAGGTACAGGCATCGGTTTCCCAATCAATATCCCTCATCTCCATGCATATCATCAGCAGCGCATCCGAGATAGCAATACCGGCTCACAAATATTCACCAATACCGCGGTGGTGAAGCTCCTACAGGAAGTTCCGGGAGTCCCTGGATCGCGCGTTATTGGGGCGGTTATTCGTCGCGCGGATGGTGCACACTACGAAGTTCGAGCAAAGCGGGTTGTTCTAGCCACTGGGGGATTTCAAGGTAACCCCAGGCTACTGTCTATGCATATGGGCCAACATGCAGACGACATGTTTGTGCGATCCAACAAGGGATCAGTGGGAGACGGCTTGATCCTAGGAACACAAGTAGGTGCGGGTAGCAGTCGTGGGATGGGCACCTTCTATGGTCATTTACTCGCGGCGCCTCTGCAGGCCGAGAAGGTCGACCCACGGGACTATTTGCCGTTGGCACAATATCGTAAGTGGCATAGGTTCTCTCCATACATGGTGCTAACTATCGCCTAGAAAGCAAACATTGCCTGCTTATCAACGAGAGTGGCCGGAGATTCGCGGATGAGACGACCGGCGACGAGATTATCAATCAGTATCTCGCGAAGCAAGAGAAACGGCGAGGATTTCTTCTCTTCAAGTATGTTCCCCATGATGTTCCTCGAAGTATATGTCTGACAACGCAGCGATCGCACTCGGACCCAGCACTGCATCTCCGCACCGTTCCCCAACGCGGGTGAGATCGATCGTCTAGCCAAAGCTCAGGAACACGGCTGCCGTGTCGGTAGTGCGCCGAGCATCAACGGGCTGGTCGACATACTCAAAGAATGGGGAGTAAACGAGACACAGGCTCGAAGGACAATTGAACAATATGATCAGGTCATCCGGCTAGGCAAATCGACTGTGGCGTTGGATGCCCCTGTCGGGGCAGGCGGAAAACCTCCAGTCCCCTTAGTAGAGGGCGACGGACCCTTCTTTTGTATGGAAGTGCAGCCATCGTACGTATCCCTTCTTCGATCAAACTGTGCATATGACTGATCATGCAGAATTACATTCACGTACGGTGGCATTAGAATCGACCCTAAGGGCCGCGCGTTGACGACCGATGGAAATCCCATCCCAGGGCTGTTAGTTGCTGGGGTTGATGGTGGAGGGTTCAGTAACCTCGGATATGCGGGCGGCTTGGCTCTTGCCTTTGTCACGGGCTTCTGGGCTGCAAAGGCAATTGCGATCGAGCTGAATCTGCCGGCCCCTAGCTTGCCAGCCGCAGACCAGCGAGATGCAGTAGATCGAGACGTTGGAATGGGAAGCAAACTGTAAAGACATGTGTATCGGATAGCTTTCCTGTGATGTGTTCATTACTAGAGGATTGACATTCTTATCGAGTCAACTACAAAATTAATGAATACACATGATTCCAACGCCAACGATTTCAAAGGCTATACCAGTCACGCCCTGGGCCCCTCGGACTTTTCATCCTCTATAATCTGAACTCCGGCCTTCATCGCTGTCCGATGACGATACCTCAGAGCAACCGCAAAACCCACAACGCCCACAATCCACCAAGACCAGAGTATAGGCAAGCTCCTTCCCAAGTAAGGGTTACATCCTCGCGTCCAGACCTGAAGGAGCGTATCATAGAGCTCCCTACCAGGCAGAGCATATCCCCAGCGATAGAAACCCGGCGATAGCTCAAAGGGGCTAAGCGTGCTCGAGACATTCAGGATAATCCAAGTCAAGATAGCGAAGGGAATGAACTGCATCGGCACAAACGTGGTGACAAATTCAAGGAGCAAGTAATGAACTTGCATTGCAAGCCAGATAGTCATCCAAGTCAATCCAAACTGCGAGGAATGGACGTCCCACCCTTCGCGAAAGACCCATATATATCCGGACATTGCGAGAGCACTGATGAACGTGTACACGAAAGCGACAACGGCACGGAAGCTAACCAGCTGAGTGAGTGAGACAGCAAAAAGATTGAATTTCATTGAAATTCCATTGATAGCCATGAGGAAGAAGAATTGTTGAAGGATCGGCATAACCATCGATACGGTATTGTAGTAGAAGCGAGTTCCCTGGTCGGTGGGGAGGAGGTCGGTTTCCGTGCTAGCTATAGGTTGTAGAAGGGTTGACGCAATTGAAGGGTTGGAGACATTGGCTGTGGCGAAAATGGATGTTTCGTTCGCTTGGCTGTAGACGTTGCCGGTTACCTGGACCAGTTCGGTAAGGCTTGCGTGGATTGTCTGCGCATAGGCAGCATATTTGGCGCTGTTCCAGACATATCCCAAGGCGTCGGCATTATTGTAGTTTTCTGCTGCAGCTGGGGAGGCGATGGCCATTGATAGACGCAAAGAAGCATTGTTTTTAGCATATATAGCTCCCCAGTACCCTTCTTTGCATACTGCGCGCTTCAAGGAGTCCTCGGTAGGATATTCTGCTGTGGAATGTTGTTTGATGGTGGGAAAGGCTGGGCTTTTGACAAGGTCGTAGGCTTTCAGCACGGATTGGCCGATAATGCCCTGGTCAAAGTCGACATAAAGAACTTTCATTGCACTGAACCGCGTGCCGTCTTGAAATGCAGTGCCATACAGATAGCACATGTTGGCGAGGAATAGGACCTGGAGGGAGACGAAAGCCCCTGCTAGGGGACCTAGCATCTGTTTTGGAAACTGCATTGTACTGCTTCCTGATATGTTGGGCAACTTGAAATACTTGCATATACAGGAAGTGAGTTCCGACGATCAATGAAGATATACAAGATAAAGAGCGTCGCTTATATGGAGATCATGTGAATCGAGAAGACGAGCTGCCCACGCGGAGGTGCGCGCTGTTATAGCCTTGAGCTGTATCCATATTCGCATTCGGCATTTTCTAGAATCCGAATTGCATGATCGGACTATTTTCCCTTTTTGATTATAAGGGGTTAAGGGCTTTAAAACCCATCCCAATTGGTACTGGCCATATTTGGGCCTTCTTGGCTTTAAAGATTGTCTGTCGATTTGGGACCCTGGGCGGAGATTAATGAGTCAGCGGATATGTGTCTGGTAAGGAGTATCCGGCAAATCAACCAATAAACTATCTTGAATGACATCTGCAAATGACTCAGCGGAACCATATTTTCATAAGCTTCCGAGTTAAGCTCCGAACAGGCTCAAGGAGTGCGCTGGACGTTGCGAAAATGCGCATAGGTTGAGTTAATCCATTGCGTTCGTGCTAAAGCCATATACAGTGCGGTTAGGTGGCATTTCTGGCCAGGAGTCAATCTTCAAAGCGTGCCCATCGCCGAGTCAATCCGGCGATCATGTTCGATTAGACCCTGGCTCTGATCATGAGATGGGATATTCTGGGCTTATCATGTCTCGCTTAAAGCTAATGGGCCAACATCAATGTCCCGAGCACTTTGACTGGCAAGCAAAACTAATTGCAGGCTCAAGTCCTCCTCAATATGATTTTTGGTTTCTCCAGTATAAGTATAGCGTATATCGTCAATCACATACGTAACGTAACTTGCAACTAAATTCATGATAGGGCATTACCCTTCTACCTCATGTCGGCAATACTCACACTTATCTGCTACATCCTGCAGAATCCCTCTGAGTCTGTGAGAATCGATGTCAAGCTTTTGACAGCTACCTGTCATGTAAGTGAACGGATCTTTTCTAGACAAAAATCACAAGCCGCTACGCCGGCGCACCTAGAGAGTGTAGTAGAGTTCATACCCACACTGGAAAATGCGGCGTATAAGTCGATTATCAATGCTGCGGGATTACTTCCGACAGGGATAAAGCAAATATGTGCTTTGATTTCAAGTGTCTCCTTGATCAGTTATATCCATGGAAAAGCCGCTTTCAATAGTAGCGTTTGATAACTACCAACAACTGTATCAACATATAACAGAGAAGGAACAACCATATATATGATTCAAAGGAGCTCCCTAATTGCAGTTCCACCTAGTTGACTACAGGCTAGATAGTGTCAAACTGAAAGAATGGAATTGTAATTGAAGACGATAATGCCAACCGCTTCAAGTGTGATGAAAGCAGCACACGACCTACACAATACCTAGGTGCACTACTCACCAGGCCAGTTGGGAATGTGTCATGGTAATAGCGCCGGGCATACTAGTTGTTGAGCCTTGGCTCCACACATTTAGATCCACCTGATATGAACATAGTTTCAGGCCCTTCTAAGAGAACCTATGGAAGTATAATATATTTCCTCTCTAGCCAGTGATTGAGTCTGGAATTATACTGACGCGAAGCTCTCACGGATGGCCAAGGCGTGGTAGAATCAAGAATGTGTTTTTGATGATATTCTAGTATAAAGCAAGAAATACCACGAAGAGTCAGGCCCTAGTTATTTACAGATTTATACAAACCCTGCATCACTTCATTGAAGAGGTGCTTCTCAAGGCTAGCGGTTGACGATGCAAGATATGGGCCCTGTGAGCACTCCTTCACAGACTTGGCATAATGGCTGCCCATTTTCGTTCTAAGTTGCGCCCCAAGGACTCTATACAGAGACTGTACATGTTGTAGTGAGAAAGGACCGCGGTAGTCCATGGACACACCGGGTAAATTAGAGTTCGAAAGTCTGTGGTATGCGTTGCAAGGATATTACCAAAGTCCAATCTGCATCAATATGACTGCAAGACTTTTCAGACCTTCGCCTTTCCAAAATCGAATTGACTTCATATCAATGTCCGTATTGTCGCCCTGCATTCTATAGTCGTCCGAAAGGCACTGCCAGGCGCTAATGTACGGTTTGCTGAGGTCGTCCCATTGATCTCCCTCATTCCGGAAAAAGATGATGTTGCTACTGGAGAGCTGCCTGTGCTTCCACCCAGCAATGTGCAGCTGTAACAGTGCAAGGGTGAGTTTTTGTGAAAGACAAAAACGGCTCTCGAAGTTTGGACTTGGTGAAGCGAGGATTCCGGGGCAGGACGCGATTTTGTCATCGAGTGTCAATAGTCGGGCCGTACTATTGGCGTGTTTTGGGAATTTGAAAACATATCCCACAATAGGGCATTTTTTACCATCAGGTAGCTGACCTGTCGCTAAACTATAGACCAAACAGGGTAGCGTGCAGAGTCCGGGATCAATCCTAGAAGTCCGTTGTAGAAGTCGAACGAAGTAACTGTATCGCTGCGTTTGGGCTTCTTCGTCAAATGTGCTCCGGACACCGTGCTTGCGCAACCGCCATTCTACAAAGACAAGTTCTTCACTCCAGGACTTCTCTGAATTGTAAACATAACGATACCGGGTAAGCGGAGACCTTGCAATGTTGCTCTCAGGCGATGTACAATCAATAACCACTCGGGGGATCTTTGGCGTCTCAAAGCCTTGGAAACAGGAAATGGGGATCTCCAAATTATTTTCAACTGCCGCGGGCGGAGGGTTTGATGATGAAGAGGCTATAGTATTTTCGATAGAGCCTGTCTCGGATTCCAACATTTCTTCGCAGATATTGCGTTCGTTTATCTCACGCAGCTCGATTATACTCGCAGCCTTAGGGTTTCCCGGTCTAAACGTATGGGTTGCGGCATCGAGAACATCTAGGATGAGCTTCTGAGCAATCTCCATATCCTGGTTACGTCGTAACAGTCTCAGGAGATCTTCGTTGTACGCAGCCAGTTCTGAAACCAGGGCTCGTAACTCCGTTTGCTTGTGTCGCGTCCAGCAACTTTTAGTGACCCGGAAAGTGGGAGATACGAACATATTCAAAGCGGCCTCTGGCGAGAGAACAATTTCTCTCAAGGGCTTGTGCTCTGCGGTGGCTTGCATCTGGTTTCGAGCCCCAGAGCCACTTGCTTCAGGAGTTTCAATATCAATCGCCGGATCCCGCGGTACTCCAGGTTACCAGTCCGTAACGGAGTCTGGGGCGCCAGGTATATATTTGCGCTTCTTCCCCATTCATAAAATCTCGACCGCTCATTATCAAAAAGCCCTGCCAGTGCTGTATCCTTTTGGGAGATAGCGTCTCTCAGGAACACATACCCTTTATGACAAAGAGTATATAAGGAATCCAGACGCTCCTGCATAAGCGACTCCATCAGGGAAGAAATGCCGAAGAACAAGGAATAGAGAGGGACAGATGTGTGTGAGTGCACAGGCTGCCCTGGTCTGTGAAACCAGGCGAGGTGGCCCTGCCTATCACGTGAGCGTACTTGCGCTGGTTAAGGGCTGTCCAGCTATCCATCAATCAATGGACATGCTTTGCCACCTTCTTTGAGCAGGTGTAACATTGCAGCTGAGGTCTAGCCTAGAAACCCACAACGCAGATTATCACACTTCCCAATATACCCCGCTATTCAACTGTTCTCGTGGCATTTTGCTTTCCTTTTAGGCACCCTTCACAAGCATACGTAATCGAATGAGATGGGTTAGTGACGAGTCATGTTCATTAGAGCAGATTCAGTGGGTCAAGGACTCCCACTGTATAAACGTTTATTTACATGGCAAGCTATATCAGCATATGCAGTTAGCCTCCTCTGATTCGAACAAAAGAACCCTTGTGATGCTAGTCTACTTACCCAACTCATGTCACCAGAAAAGTCCCACATATTCACAAGCTCACTTGGCAGGCGCGATAGATCGAATTCGGGCTCGGTCGACGATAGCATCTTGGGCTCTGCCACAGATATTGACCCCTCCTTTTGAGAATCAAGGGTAATTCCTAGCATTGGATCGAATCTATCTGTCTCGGTCTCCGCTATACAGGTGTCAGAGAAGGCCAGAACGGAAATAGATAATGATCTTACTGGAAGTGGTGCTGTGGCCATTGGTATTCCCGCCACCGTTGCTGCTATCTGATGGGGATACACTGCAAAGCACAGGGGCATTCAGCTTCCTCAGCATGATACTAGTTGACTGCCAGGCTTGCCAGGCCTCCGCTGACTCATCCTTATATTGTGACCAGATCCTCTGTGAAGTTTGGAGGGCAAGAAGCAGATCGTCCTTTCTCGGCGTTCCAGCCTGCCCGCCTTGTGCACCTTCCCGCTCGAGGTTGTGGAGCTCCAGGCATACCACCATCGCCGCCAGCATGAAATCATTCGTGGCCAAGGAAGTCACGAACCAGCGACATTGCGCTAGCACTCCTCCTGCTTGAACCTGACCATCAATAGTCGCTTGATGCTGCAAAATATTCACTGCTGCGTCAAGACAGATACGTCGAGACTCTGCATACCGAATATCTGAGCGGCCTTCGCAGAGGGACTTGCGATGTAGGATGCACCGCGTCTTCTGATACAGAATTTCCAGGTTATAGCGCAGCATGACGAGACTTGGCGATGCCGTAACAGACTCAGATACGCTACGGAATTGGAGACATACTGGGACTGCGGCATAGGACTCATTCAGTTGATTGTCGAGTTGATAAATCAGTGCGGACGGGATAGGCGCGGTGGATGCAGCATGGTCAATCACGAGACCAAATACCCTGGAGAGTCGACTTTTCGCAATCAGATAAGCCACCGGGGTAAATGCTGTGTCCGGACGTGCTGGTGGCAAGCTCGTCGAGTCCTCAGAGAAGTCCTCATCTAGGAGATTGTGTGGCGGTTGTGTATCTGCTAACCCGTCATAGATCATTCGGGGCAGACCCAACTGAAACGAAATGAGTGCATCCAGTTGGGACATGAGCGTCCATATACGTCTTCGCATTTCGGCTGCAAAACATGAGAGCTCTGGATAGCGGGAACCGTCCCGATGAAGGCCAGCCCGCATGGCCAGGCGGTTGATCATTCCCATTAACAACCAGACCTCGTGATGAAACTCTTCGCCCCGAAAATACTCCGTTTGCGCGTAGAACAATAGTGCCTCTATGGTATATTTCGTCGGAGCTGTATACTTGTTATCAATGAGGCAATAGGCAGCTTGTTGCCGAAAATCATCACACAGCCCGTGGGTGTCACCGATCGGGTCTGGTCTGTGGCCCTCAGTGAGCTGGTGATGGTGGATCGCCAGACACATGATACTGAATAGAATACTCAACCATGCCAGATTGACATCTTGTGGATGAGTCCAGAATTGGTCATACTGTGAACGTCAGCATACGTACACATGTCACATGAATGGGTTCCCTACTTCTTTCTGGAATGTCGGGGCATGCAGGACAACTGGACAACTGCGTTAAAACTTTCAACCAATATCCCTTCAAAGTAGGTATACATACGAACACCCGGCTCCATAGAGCTGAAAAATCGTGACACCAGCCGATCTACGGTCGGTCTTGGCGGGAGGTGACTCAGGACCTCCGCTATCCCGCCGGGCGGAGACACCCCTCGGAGAAGGGCGGACCCGTTATCACACCGCAAAGGCAGATATGATGGCCCTAACTCGACGCACTCTTTGAGCTCGGCAATCTGCCATCCAGATCGTCGGGTCATGTTAGTACAATGTCCTAGTGGAGTTTGTGATGACCGCAAAAGGAAGGTTCTCACGTACACTGTCTTGCAGTGCGGTCCAATGAGCCCCTGAGACATAAGTCATCCCCGTCTGATCGACCCGCAGGCTACCAAAGGAGTTGGCCACTGTCTCTGGGCTAGCAGCCGGGGAAGAATCGCTCTTATGCGCCAGGTGAACTGGGTTCTCTACCGTTTGGGGGGGTTCGCCCTTTTGCAAAGCTACCACCAGATCCTCCAGTTGGCGGATCCGTTGGGTCAACTGCCGGGGCTGAGCAGGCCCATTCCTCCGTGGAGCTGCTGAGGCAGGGTGAGCATATACGCATCCTAACCCACGCTTGGTACAGCTACTACAAGGCTGGAGACGGTCACATCTTAACCTTCAGGGGGTTATTCAGTCATTCACGCGAACTACCACAACGGTATGCCTTACTTTTTCTGACGACAAAATGTGCAGGATATAGGCGTCCGAACGGGGGGTTTGGATGCCATTGTCCCTGATACAAAGGATTAGTCTTGTAAAAGAGAGCGTTGAATGGATGGGGATATTGATGTGATACTGATGTTGGGCGTCTCTCGCGGGGTTCACCGCCGCGGCTTACTCAGCTCGCTGTCTTAACTAATACGAGCCTGCAGGGTTTTCTATATGTTGCACAGTTCATAGTGTTATCTTGAAATCTCCATAGCATACGCACTCTTTACTTGGGTACCTAGCCTCAGAAATGGTTAGTCTATTGGAACATCTGAGCTAGGCCATGAAACAGGCTTGTTCACCGAGACATTCAGTGTATTTGGCTCAATGACACTCCAAGATCGCCCGGGCTTGGCGCGCCGGGCCGGAGATGCTAGCGCCGGAGATGGTCCCGCCCTCCCGAATTGTGGCTCCGGATTGAGGGTCCGGAGGGCTTCACCTAGTATAAATCCACCATTATGATCCCAGGTATACGTCTCAATTCCCGTTCCGAATCATCCAACAATTCCTAGCATTCTCCAAGATAATACACCATCACACTCGGACATACACTCACAGGCACGCACACAATGGCACCCGCCCTCGGCCAGATCTTCCCCCCAAACCCTACTTTTGTCGAGAAAGACATGCCCGACCTGACGGGAAAGGTAGCCATCGTCACTGGTGCAACCTCCGGAGTCGGTTTCAACACAGCATCCATTCTATATTCAAAAAATGCTACTGTTTACATCGCAGCCCGATCTGCTGACAAGGCCCGCACGGCTATCAACGAGATCCAGACCTCCACGGAGGGAGCACATAGCCGTGGTCGCCTCTCCTTCCTACAACTAGATCTGTCCGACCTAGCGAGCATCAAAGAAAGCGCCAATAGGTTCTCAGAACAGGAAGACCGCCTTGATATACTGATTCACAACGCCGGGGTCATGACTCCCCCAGCGGGCAGTAAGACAATTACTGTATTTGCCCCATAGCAATAACAACAAACTGATGGGGAAAACATCAAAAGCTGATACATGATATAGGGCCATGATCTTGAAATGGGAACAAACTGTCTCGGTCCCTTCCTCTTCAATAAACTCCTTCTTCCCCTTATTCAGCGCACCGCGGTCACGGCTCCTGCGGGTAGTGTGCGCGTGGTGTGGCTATCATCCATGTTAGCCTCGTTTGCGGCAACCGGTGGAATTATCTTCGATGATGAAAGTGATTCTCCGAAGGTTCTGTCTGATGCGATGCAGAATTATATGGAAAGTAAAGTGGGGAATATGTTTATCGCCAAGGAGATGGCGAAGCGGTATGGTGGGGACGGCATTCTCAGTTTGGTTCGTTTGGCCCTTATCAATGACTCCTACTGTATACATGCTAATAATACACAGAGCGTGCATCCCGGCCTCATGAAGACTGAGTTACAGAGACATAATTCTGCTATTCAGTCCACGGTTATGGTATGCTTTCCTTTGTACCTCTACTAGTGGAGCTTTTGGCTGACAGTAATTAGGGCTGGATATTCAAGGGTCCGCGGTACGGAGCATACAGTGAGCTCTTCGCGGCGCTATCTCCAGCAGTTACAGAAGAGAAGAATGGAGCGTATATTATTCCCTGGGGGAGGTTTGGTCCTATCCCTTGTCATCTTCAAAAGGCGTTGGTGTCGAAGCGTGATGGAGGGGCGGGGACGGCGGAGAGGTTTTGGGCTTGGTGTGAGAAGGAAACTGATCCGTATATTTGAAACGTCTCTCGCTTTTTCTTTCTATGCTTGAGTATTGTTTCGCGTGGGAATTCATGATATAATAACTTTTGTTTGGCGCCCAATTTGGTTGGTAATTAATGTCTTATTTTTTAATTTATTGTGTGGAACACGAATATTCATGGCAGGATACTTCATATGACAGATAGACATTAGCTCGTATCAACTACGGAGAACATGGTATTACAAGTCCCGTTGTTAACAAAAGATTAGTCCGTTTAAAACCCAGATGAACCAAACTGGAAGCTTTAGATCTTCACTCCTATCCCTCGATTTACCCCAAGTGCGCCTGTATTGATCTGGTGGGTAGTGACTAATCTGGTCCTGATACTATGCACTTGGATCAAAAGATATCCTTTGCCACATTATTTCAAATCACAGGCAGGCAAAAGTATCTTGCTGCATCGATGGAACGGGAAGAGGTGGATGGTAGACCTGCAGTCCGATAGTTGACACATTTACCCCTCTCTTTAGACAGCGACCTGGGCCAGGTTGTCCGAGTCAATCTGTCTGTTTGCCTGCTATTGGGTGAAAATATCACTAAATCGCCGATCGCTACTCTCCGGTATACTCCGGTATTCTGATAATCTCCTCGCAGGCCTTGATGCTCAGCCGATGTTCCCCGAGCCCTTTGGAAACGCAGGGAGACTTCCTTTACCATTCTGCAATAACTCTCATTTACTGCAATTGTAGAAAGTGCAGCATGTTATCCTCATGGCTCAGCAGTCTGCATAAATAAAGAAACCGAATAACACGTTGACGAATTTGAAGCGATGTATATCTAACATTGTCAGTTCTTGGTAGGTTTAGTATTCACGAGAGATGTAGAGGATGCCCTGGTAACCATTTCTATAAGTCCATATTATTGACAGCGCGTTATAGAGATAGTGAGTAGATGGTGAACTTGGAAGGTCCTGGTATTGACTAGGAATAAACCTGGTCAGACAGCTACATATGACAGAGGGTATGCAAACAAGTGGGCCATTTGAGCCATGCACTGTTGACATTTTTCGGTTGACAAGAATGGGAAGTGTCAGTCAAAGGGCGTCATGGTCCTTTCTTGGGGCTACTGCATCTAGTATTAGACATTTAATAGTGGTCTGTATTATTATGCGGTGCAGGGGAGGATTGTGTCCTACCAATAAATAGTACTATAGGACGTACGTCGCTGATGCCTGTGATTATGGGTCACTTTAGTGAGCTTCCACTCCAGCTCTTTACTCGGAAGACAAAATTCGGAACCGTCAGTTGAATCAGGAGTACATATATATTTCCTAACGTGCAGCTGTTACTGAACGGAAGCTCAATAATGGCATTTCCGATTGCAGTTGTCGCTGTACCATGCGTCATTGGCAAGTTCCATCATATAGCCATGCGGCCGTACATATAGTTGTAAAACTAGGACCCACAGAGGGAAACACCACTTGTCTCCACGTGCCCAGTCCAAGGCATTGTGAAGCGCCTTACTACTGATAAGTGTATTATGAGATGCAATCTTTCTGCTAAGGTTGTTGTCAAATTTTCCCTCAAGTGGCGCGTTTATAGTCTACGCGGAGCCTCTCCAAGTACCTGATCGGCAAGGCACAGAAGCGCTAGGCAAGGACCTTCTTGAGCATCTCGTGAGAAACTTCGTTGGAGCCTTAGCAATCCAGACCTATGACTTGAATGCTCTGAAACATGCGGATATGTAAATTTGTTCACTCCAGGAGTAGGCACCTTTTTTGTCTAGCTGTACGCAAAGCCCTGCTATTAGGTAGACAGACATTCGGGAGCCATTCAGAAACCCTAAACCGTGTCATATAACCACCAAGAAGCGCCAGCGGCTCGATTTCCCGTGCTGGCTAATCAAGCCCTTTCTGATATCTTGTAGTGATGCTGAGCACTAAATAACGCGCGTCGCAAGTGACCAGCCCATCTGGTTAGTGACCGCAACCGGTAATGCCGATCAGCTGAGGCAATCCGACGGGAATTCCTTAATCCGATGCCAGATTCCCTACTTCTCCACCGGAATAATTCTCAATGAATGTCAACAACCACCAGGCATTCCTCGGTACGAGAGAACGGCGAAGATCTCAAGCATTTTTGACACGCGACCTGCTCCGTTCTCTTCAGTAAGAAAATCGGAATGACGTCGTTTTTCCGAGGACGACCGGAGGGACTCATGAGGGTACATTGGTGGATACTCGGCTAATCCGTTGCACCACTCAAGGGGCCCTTGTGGCGCCGGTTCCGCGGACGAAGCCGACGGCAACATTCGGACTCTCATTTCACCTTCTTCTTTCGACCGTTTTAGGGGTCTTGGCACGTGCGATTTGATGGAGACAGTAAGACCTGACTGGCTCGTTATTGGATATGAGGTTATCCACTGGGATGATGACCCATCCACGGATGATGTTAAGAACCGCAAGTCTACCCCAACGACATCGAATCATACAATCCTGAAAATTTTTTTCTGTTATGTCCTGCTTTCATTCCCCTTTCTCACTTTTCTATGGCCCCTTCCCATTCTCCACCGTCATCCGCATAACCTGCGAGAGCGCTCGCACGCACACCAAACCAGGTCAACCCGAGTAGCAAGAGGCAAACTGCCTGAACCCAAAGCGCCATGAGGAGAGCTATACTGCATCTCCCAGTCCCTTAAGACTAGCCTTATCATTCCCAATGCGACACAGTCCACATAGGACATCAATCCGGCTCTTCACACTCAATCGAGAGTGCCATTCGTGTTCGTACAGAGGCAACCAGCAAAAACAATCGAAGCGACAGCATCAGCTCTGCCTTGGGTCACTGGCGGCAAGCGGGGTACTTCGTACTGAGTAATATGGGTGCTGTGGACCTGCCTGTTACGCATTGATGTTATGTCAAACTTTTTCCCAGTCTTCCTGGGGCGCATGAATCGTGGAGTTTATATAGGGTTCAACAACTCCCCCTCCCGTCGGCTTTCCTTCCCATCCCATTCCTCCCGGTCTTTCCTCTCCACATCTCGACCCATCCTGAGGTAGTATTTTGTTACTCCTCTTCCTTTCTTGCAAGTTTGATTCCTGTTTTGCGAACGAATCAACTAGCATTTCTCTTTCAAGCGTGTCATCTTTTGGACTACAGAAGACTGTCAATACCCGGCTACCAGGCTGAATTTATATACGAAACAAAAACTATTTCCGAGCGTTTTCTGTGTGGTGTCGTCACAACACTAGACATAGTCATTCTAGGACTGAAAGACGGACACGAACACTCCGACCACGCGCCCAAGCAAAAACCCAGAGAGCGACCTGTTTTGTGAATATTCCATTGCGCCAACTACCATCGCGGTCTCCCTTCGCACCTCGGTTGCCCTTATCTGCACGCCTGCCCGCCATTGCACTCCCTAGCGTCTGCCCTGATAGCGCCCTACGACAACCTCTCCTACTCACGGTCTAGGTTGTAAGAACAGACGAGATTCGAACCGCTTTTTCCCGAGCAGCAATCCAAACAATCGAATCTAGCCCCGGCGACAAGGCATACCGTGCCCTATTTAGGTCCCCGGCATACAACCCCAGCGACAATTTAGGTCGATACGTTTTTATCTTTAGCCACGCGCCACATCCCACTCGTCGTTACCCCCTTGCGACTTATCTCCGGAACGCCTGATCAAAATGGGTAGCTGGTGGAAAAACTGGCAGCGAGACCGCTCGCAGATCCCTGAGGTCGTGGTCCCTCTGGCCGATGCCCCCAATACGACTCCCCAAACGGAGAAGGATGCCGAATCCAATGTCAACAGCTTAGATTCCCAGGAAAAGGGTGCTGCTTCCGCACCCGAAAGCACTACGCTAACCCTCGAGGCCCTGCGTGCAGAAGTCGACTCTGCCGTCTCTGCATCGGGCCATAACTCTGTTTATGATCGTATGTTTCTGTTGCCTCGTAATGGGCGATCTTCGACCCCCAAGGAGCCGGCTATTCTCTCTCTCCCAGCCAGGACCCCCTCCTACCATTTTACCGAAGGATCTGGATGTCTGACTGGATAATTGCAGGCAAGGCCAAGATTATCAACAAGGCCATCCAAGATATCGGCATGGGCCGTTATCAGTGGGAACTTTATATCCTGTGTGGATTTGGTTGGACTGCTGACAAGTAAGTCGACTGAATCCTAGAATTCGTTCTAGCTGCGCTAACAAGTTTCTTCCTACAGCCTCTGGCTACAGGTGAGACCACAGCAATCAATTTACTGATACTGTCGAATGAAATGCAGTCGAATTAACACGGTTCTACGTAGGGAGTTGCCCTGACCCTAACCCCCTTGTCTATGGAATTCGGCATCTCCGAATCCTACGTTCGTTTTACTACCTGCGCCTTGTTTGTTGGTCTGATCGTTGGCGCCACTTTCTGGGGCCTTGCATCTGATATGATTGGACGTCGATTGGCTTTCAACACAACTCTTTTCTTGTGTGGTGCCTTTGGTCTTGCATCGGGCGGTGGTCCCAGCTGGGTTGGGTACGTTCCCGCCGACCCTTGAGAAGTCGCTATAGCTAACAGCGTTCAGTACCTGTGCCCTCTACGCTTGCTTGGGATTGGGAGTAGGTGGTAATCTGCCTGTTGATGCTGCTATCTTCCTCGAGTTCTTGCCCGGTGCTTCAGGAAACATCTTGAGTTCACTGGCCACATTCTGGTCAGTGGGTACCTTCATTGCCAGTATGCTGGCCTGGGCTTTCATTCCGAACTACTCTTGCTCCGACTCGAGCAACTGCACCAAGGAAAACAACATGGGCTGGAGATACCTTGTTCTTTCTCTTGGTGCCATCACCATGGTATTCTGGATGTGTCGATTCTTCTTTTTCAAGCTGTACGAATCGCCCAAATTCCTCGTCGCCAAGGGCCGGGATGAGGACGCTGTCGCAGCTATTCACGGTGTCGCCCATCACAACAAGAAGAAGACCTGGCTCACGGTGGAGATCTTGCAAGAGATCGGCGGAGCTACCGAGGATAGCAAGGAACAGAACCTTTCCTCCGCGCAAATCCTGAAGCGCTCGCTGTCCAAGTTCTCCGTGCAGCAGATCGGACCTCTGTTCTCGTCCAAGCGTCTTGGAATTACCAGTAAGCCCTTCCCTTAGATCCTCAGCAACAGCCCCCATCAAGAACTAACGATGAAAACCAGCCGCCCTCATCTGGCTCTGCTGGACTACTATCGGCATGGGATACACCCTCTTCAACGCCTTCCTGCCCCAGTACCTCGGCTCCTCGTCTTCCGTATACATCACCTACCGTAACTACGCTATCACCTCCGTGACCGGACTCTTCGGCCCCATTCTGGCCCGCTACATGGTCGACCTCAAGTACGTCGGTCGGAAAGGTACAATGGCCCTGTCGACGTTGATCACTGCCGTCCTGCTCTTCTGCTTCACGGCCGCCAAGACATCCGACACTCAACTCGTCTGCTCGGCTCTCGAATCCTTCACCCAGATGATCATGTACGGTGTGCTGTACGCTTACACCCCCGAGGTCTTCCCAGCTCCCAACCGCGGTACCGGCTCGGGTATTGCTAGTTGCTTGAACCGCATTGCTGGTTTCTGTGCTCCTATCATTGGTATCTATGCTTCTGCCAACCCCAGTGCGCCCATCTATGCTTCGGGAGCGCTGTTGTTGGTTTCGTTTGTGGCGATGGTGCTGCTGCCGATTGAGACTGCTGGCAAGCAGAGTCTGTAGAGGGTTCTTGTTGGGGATGTGTACATGATAGAGCTTGGAAAGATTGATATGTCTTTCGGTTGATACCACTGTTGTTATGTATCTATATGCTGTTATGACCGAGATAGCGTGCATGATTGGTTTTTTTTTTTGATAGAGAGGATAGAAGAATAGATGGACTCTATGATTTGAACTCCAATCAGGGACATGGTCCTACAGCTATTCTCCTAGTACTCAAATGTGCCGACTATGTGAGATCAGGTCCAAATATTCTGTCCCTAACCATATTTTAGTTCAAAACACCCCTCTACGCCTCATCCCGATAGCCACCCCACACAGACAACACCTTCTCCAACGTATCCTCTTTCTTACTCTCAGTTTTTCGAGTAAAGAAGTCATTCTGCAGCTTGGCCAGAATACCCGCCAACAACCAATTCTTCACCTTCGTCATGCTTTCATACATCTCAAGCTGCCTCATAATCTCCACAGAAAGCTCATTTAGTAAAGCCTGGGTTGCCTCCAGGCCCCCACTGCGTTCGATCAGTCCGAAAATAAAGTGGAGAAAGGGAGAGAGAGCTGAGCCCATTCCAGGATCCACGGAGTCGGGTCTTTGTCGATGATCATTCATTCTTGTTGAAAGAAAAGTCACCGGAGAGATGAAAGGGTGTCTATCTATATGATATATTACTCTTGATGCCCTTTTGAATCATCCCCATTTCTGGGAGACTTTGGACTTCATGAGCCATATGTTTATATATATTGGCACTTAGTTGTATGTTTTGTGTACGTGCGAGCCACATACTTAACGGCTATCTCACCACCGAGTTGCGCAGACTAGAGTAGGCAATTCTGTCATTACTCCAATGAAGTATAGTAGTAAGGGTTATAGTTGTGACATAATACACAGTACTACCTACCAGATCAGAGGCGGTACATGGACCATCTTGGACCATCAAAGCCGTTGTGTAATTATGTTGCTGATCGTATCACCGCCCCCTTCAATCCGTAGAAAACATTCCCCGTTCAACAAAATACGTTTCTGTGCCGCATTTGTATGCCAGAAAGCTTAATCTGTACTATCCCTGGCTGGAGTTGAGTTTGGCGTGATCTGGAGATACTGCGTAGGTCATACACCCGCAGTATTGGGCTCAGAGTTCTATCAAGGGAATAATATGCGTCCGCGTCGGCAATAAGGGGCAAGGCGCAGAAAAGGGATAGATGCTTGCCAGTGGCTACCTTTAGATCATTTGCAGTAGAAATTGATGCCGATGAAAGTCGTCGCTGTAGGAAGCTCCATCGAAGAATGACTAGAGTTTACTCCGCCCTGAATAGGGTAAATATCCCCGTGTATCGAACCACAGTTGGCTTGAAACAAGTGATTCAGACGCTAAACAACATGAAAACTTTGGAAAAGCCGCGTACGAGAGTTTGACAGACAATCTTTCTAATACTCGGTGCGAACTAATTGTTCTCCTAGATCATGCTGGACAATAATCAGTGAGGCGTGTTCCTGTCGCTATGAATATTGCTGTCTTGAATGGAGGTGAATCCCCTACATCCTTTCCTGGACGCATAATAGAATAGATAAATTTGACAATGTGTGTAACACAACTTGAATGACCAGCTGCCGTGGAATCATTTGTTGTCACCAATAAATCATGATCACTGCATCGTCCAGGTAGGCCAAATTTCAGTGATTATCTACCCTACCAGTGCCTTCGAATCTCATAACCGCTGCTGATACAGTAATATTGAGAGCCATAATCCGGTACGTTAGCGAGACTCCAACAGATGATGAACATTGATTATCGGGGAAAGAGTAGCCATTATAGAAAGGGATAAGAGCGGTACTGAGACAAAGTAGGCATAGTCTGTTTGGCAGAGGTTGCACAGCAGGTTACCAGAAAGAAAAGGATGTGTTGATCTATACCTACTGAATAGGGACGTGTACGTCTCCCCTCCCGCATCCGGTGACAGACATCGTAGTGGGGGTACTCTATTGGACACTAGTCAGAATAACTTACGTCTCAGGGTTCCAATGGCTGATAGTGTGTGGGGTGACAACAGTACATAGGACATGCTACTCAATTTTTACGGTAGGGCGACTTGCAAGTATCGTTTTTACTCATCTTTGGTGGCCCCTTGAGAAGGGGGTTCATCTATTCAAGAACTACGTCAACGGGAAGGAGTAAAACTACAAGCCAAGCGTCAGAAATACAAGGACCACTGTATAAAAAGTGGAAGTATCCCTCCTCTCGTTAAGTTATTCCAGGAAACTATCATAAGTGACTATTCAAGATCACACACATCTCCGAACGTTTTATATTATTCTGTACTTAATATGGATCGACACACCCTGGAAGCTCAGCTTGGCACTATTAAGGTTCCTATAGTGCACATCCCATGGGTAGGAGAAATCGGAGCAGATGTGCCCCAGTTGGGAGCCAGCATGCTTGAATGGGCCGATCAGAAGGGCTTGTTGGTCGATGTAGCCTACCGCGAACGAGTGAAGCGCAGTCATTACGCCTGGCTAGCAGCCCGGTGCCATCCAAGACAGCACCCGAGCTTCTGTCAGTCATCTCGAAATTCTTCGTATAGTACTTTATTGTGGACAATCTCTTTCTCGACAGGATAGACCTTGTGACGCCAAACACGCTCTCTAACCTGACCGCCATGATCGACGTGGATGATTTCAACTGCGCAAGGCCCGAGCCTGTCTATAGCGAACTGGCGTTGCTTGACATTTGCCAGTCATTACGTCAACTGTTATCAGTGGAACATTTTGAGCGTTTCGCCTAGGGAATAAGGCTCTGGGCCACGACTACCAGCTTACAGATTATATATCATCTCCAGGAAAAGCCGGTAGGGGTGAGCCAATTTGAATCTATCCACCACCATACAAGTGGCGCGGAATCTTGTCTAGCATTAGCAGATGCATCGAACTGTGGTCCCGTCAGTCCAGAGGAGTTCTATCAACCAAATATACAGAAACTTTGTCACTATACGAACAAAATTATCTGCTTGACAAATGATATTCACAGTTTCATTGTTGAGGCACGCCAACCGGGTCAGTTCTGGAACAGGATATACATCCAAGCGGCGGATGGTTACACCGTAGAGGGGAGTGTTAACCATACAGCTACGAGTGTATATGAAGAGCTGGAGAAATTTCAGAAGCTGGAATACCAGATCTTACAAAATACAAGCCCACAGTTATATAGCCTTGTGGATGGTTGCAAGCAATAAATCCATGAGTATATGGACTGGGTGGCGCTGGATACTAAGCAATTCCAGACAGCATATGCTGTTGGTGATGCTGATGATCGAAATGTTCTTCACAACCGTCACGTGAGCACTGTTCGCAGTCCCTTCTAGCTGACTTATAATGTGGCCGTATCTAGATGGTATATGATTTTAAAGAGCTGTGATGTCAGAAGTTGGGCCAAACATTGACAAGAGAAATGTTTCTATGGTGTGTCATGGAATAGCCAACACAGAATAGTACCTAGGTAGCACTAGCGCTCACGTCAGCATACACGATCTGTCAACGAAGGCGAATCAAACAAAGACATTTGGTTTGTATACAGGCATAGTAGCCTTACTGTCATTTCTAAATGCAATACTATTTGTTGTCAACTTAGGCAACAACTCAGTTGGGGGAAGCCCTAAGTGAATGTATGTTAGGCTTCCATCATGCCACAATATTTATATTTCATGCAGTGCAGCTATGATGCCATAACCAGACACAACTCAAAGATTACAACTATTTACTGATTTATACATTGCGATTTGCCCCAAGAGCCAAGGAGGATACTACGAGACTCACACACCATGTCCACCACCACATTTGCCTCCGAAGCCACCACCTTCGAATCGGCCCTAACCAGCCTCTTCAGCGGCCCCCCTGAGACTACCGAAGCCGATCTGGCCAAGCTATTCACACCTACTTTCACACAACGCGACGATGAGACAACGCGCGACTTCTCCGCCTTTGTTGCACACATTAAGTGGCTGCGAGGAAATCTTTCACCAGGAAGTGTGACGCTCAAGATTACGCAGTTCCTGCGCGACGGTAATCAATTTGCGGATAGACACAGCTCTACCATGACGATGCCAGATGGAAAAGTGGGCGCCGCAGAGACATTTATGTTCGGGGAGGTGGCGGAAGATGGGAGGATCGAGTGGGTTGTGGAGACAGTGAAGCGGAAGTAGTGGAAGTGATGGTTGGGATAAGCCCGGCGGGATGAGGCATTATTCTTGTGTGGTTACTAAAGAGACTCACACATTGTTCTAATGTGAGTTTGATTGCGATTACTAAATTTTAATATCCGAGTGAGAGGGAATCAATGGCGTTATCCAGGCAGCTGCATGCAATACTACATTCCCCTCACGGTTCGCATCACCTCACGAGGGAAACCTGGCCATCTCGGCAAACAATGGTATCATCCGAGTGGGTTCCCCTCAATTATGGTCTTGATAAGCCACTATTGCTGCAGAACGCCTATCTGTGCCGTTAGTGTCTCCATAGTGTCCGCAGTGCTTTTTCTGCCGATTAATCTATTGCCAGACGGACTCCGTCGCTCCTCCGAGTGCCGGGTGCCGCGGCTAAGCTCTGCTGTAGCTTGCATTTGCTGCAGGAACATCTGCATCCTTCATAATTTTGAAGGGGTAACTTATCTTCATTTGCGTACTGAGATGCAGTTAATGTGTTGTAATTCGTCCCACTATAAGCTTTCTGGCGGCTTCAACCTTCCAGAGGAATAATAGGGTTGGCGGGAATGGCTTCACCGCGTCCCTGCATGCAAGGGATGCATCATGCACCGTGACCTGTTCCACCACGCCGGAGCCCGCCCGCCCTCCGACGGCCCAAAGCCACTGCAGAATGGCTTGATTAACTTACTCCATCTATAATAAACAGGCCGTCCCTGCTCATTGTCTGTCCTGCTCTCCACCCAGGGTCGTTTTTGCTTTTTCCTCAGCCATGGTCGCCTTCTCCCGCCTCTCGGCAGGCTTCGCCCTTGCTGCCCCTGTGCTCGGCAGTGTCGTTCTGGAGACCGTCAAGTCTGTCCCCAGTGACTGGAAGCTCGTCAAGGCTGCTGATACCAGCTCAACCATTTCTCTGTCTGTGGCTCTGGCGCGCCAGAACCTGGACCAGTTGGAGGAGAAGCTCCTGGCCGTGTCCACCCCTGGCAAGGACACGTACGGCCAGTTCTTGGATCTGGACGACATCAACGAGCAATTCCCTCTCGCTGATGACGCTGCTGTTGTTTCTTGGTTGAAGAAGAACGGCGTCACCAAGATCCACAAGGAGGGTGGTCTCCTGAACTTTGCGACCACTGTGGGCACAGCGAATCAGCTTCTCAACACCACCTTCTCGGTGTACAAGAGCGGATCTACCCAGAAGCTGCGCACGACGAAGTACTCTGTTCCGGATGATCTGGCTGGGTCCATTGACCTCATTTCGCCAACTGTTTTCTTTGGAAGATCTAACGCTGCCCGCTCGGCGGCCGTGCGTGCTTCGCAGACTACCAAGGAGAGCAGCGGCAAGAGCAGTGATGTGTGCGAGTACATCACCCCGGATTGTCTCAAGGAGCAGTATAGTATTGACTACACGCCCGAGAAATCTTCGGGAAGTCGTGTTGGGTTTGGCAGTTTCTTGAACGAGTCGGCCTTGTACTCGGACTTGGATCTGTTCACCCAGTACTTTGACATTCCGGAGCAGAGCTTTACTGTTGAGACCATCAACGGAGGAATCAACAACCAGGAGAATGATCCTGATGGTGAAGCTGACCTCGATGTGCAGAACATCGTTGGCATCTCTCATCCCTTGCCGGTGACGGAGTATATTACCGGTGGATCTCCGTGAGTATGTTGAAGACGAGAATCAGAATCAATGCTAATCAGCTTGGTTAGTCCGTTCATTCCCGACGTCGAGACCACGACCGACGAGAACGAGCCTTACCTGCAGTACTACGAGTACCTGCTGGCCAAGACCAACGACGAGCTGCCGCTAGTCATCAGCAACTCGTACGGCGATGACGAAGATGTAAGCATCCCTACCTTCCACATGAGATGCCTGCTAACAGGATAGACTGTCCCCATTGCCTACGCCACTCGCGTGTGCAACCTGATCGGCCTGATGGGCACACGTGGTATCTCCATTCTCGAATCGTCTGGCGACTCGGGTAAGCTTCCCCCCTTCCATTAACATGACGAAGACATTAACAAATCCAGGTGTTGGCGGCGCATGCATGTCCAACGACGGCACCGACAAGACCGAATTCACCCCCATGTTCCCAGGAACATGTCCCTACATCACCGCGGTCGGTGGCACCCAAGACGTGCCCGAAGTCGCCTGGGTGGACAGCTCTGGCGGCTTCAGCAACTACTTCTCGCAGCCGTCATACCAGTCGGACCAGGTGGGGACCTACCTGGACAAGTACATCTCGGCATCGACGAAGAAGTACTACGAGCAATACACCAACTTCAGCGGTCGCGCGTTCCCTGACGTGTCTGCGTTTGCAGGATCTCCTTAGTATGTATCGATTTCAGAGGAGTGTATGGGCATCTGCTAATGTGCAATAGCTACTTGACTTATATCGATGGTGAGCTCGGCCTTGTGGCTGGTACTTCTGGCGCTAGTCCTGTGTTTGCGGGTGTCGTGGCGCTGCTGAACGATGCCCGTCTGCGGGCTAACAAGACATCTTTGGGTTTCTTGAACCCTTGGCTGTACTCTAGCGGCTACAAGAGTCTGAACGATATTACCAGTGGCGAGGCAGTGGGCTGCCAAGGCGATGTGGAGGGCGCTGGAGTGATCCCGTGGGCGAGTTGGAATGCCACGACGGGATGGGATCCGGCGACAGGGCTGGGAACGCCTAATTTCGCCAAGCTGAAGGAGGCGGTTCTTGCGTTGTGAGCAAGATACAATTAGGCACTGAGTGGACGTGCTGGAGCGGGCAAACATGTGCAAGGCGTTAAGTTATAATAACCTGTGTGCGGACTAGACAAGCATGGACAGAGCACAACCAATTAGCGTCTGCATAGTTGCCACCCTTAAACTAAAGATAATCAATTGATTACCGCTGTCAGTCTCAAGTCGGTCATGTCATGGACCCTGTTCGATCAATTTGAAACAAGCTTAATCTAACAGCGGCGGTGATGAAACCGCCAGCGGATACTTGTTTCAGTTTACCCGCAAGCCTGTATCCAGTATCCAAGCCCTACTTAAACCTGTCACTGCCCATGTTTCCATTCTCTCTCTAACCACCATTCTTTTCTTCATTGTGCCGGTCACATACATTCTTTACTTTCGCTATCTTTGCTTCTCTTCTCTACTTCCATAAGTCACTCATTATATACCACGCGAATATCACCATGAAAGGAGCCGCCTTCCTCGCCTTCCCCGCCTCCACACTGGCCGGATCCGTACTGTGGAGCGGCATCTTCAACTCGTCCTATACTGTCGCTGACTTTGACGAATGTATGATCCCTACTGTGAACCGTAATATCCTCTATGGTACCGAATACTAAATAGAGATAGGGTCATGGAGCAACCAAATCGCGCCCTGGCAATGGTACATCCACGGCGACGGCGAAACCTCCGAGTATCTCGCTCTCTCCAGCGACTACAAGAACCCAGCAGCAAGCGATGCCCAGGGTCTGCGTACCAGACTTGTACTCTACCCCATATCCTTTAACCCATCCTACCTATCTCCACTATACCAGTAAAACTAACCCATCCCCCTCCGGGGATAATACAGGACAACACCTCCTTCTGGGAAGGCCAAAGCATGCAACGCACCGAACTGATCCCCCAAATGTCGCCTTCCAGCTCTGCCTCCGACCTGGGATCCGGTCACTTGTACTACCACTTCTCCTTGAGCGCCAGCAGCACTAACCCCCCATCCTCGTCAAGCGAGCACCAAATCGCCTTCTTCGAGAGCCATTTCACGGAGCTGCAGTACCAGGATAACACGCTGAAGTGGAATGCCGGCGGGGATACGCATTACTCTGTGGAGCTGGAGACGGGCAAATGGTACAACTTTGCGTACGATATTGATTTCGATAATCAGAAGGTTGGGCTTTGGGCGTCGAATGGATCGGATGCCCTGACGGAGGTGGTTAGTCCGGTCAGTGCGAGTGCGAGCTCCAATGGGGCGGATTTCCATGTCGGTGTGTTGAGTTTGACTGGGGATGGGACTGAGGATTGGTTCTGGAGTGGAGTTTATATTGAGAAGGGCGATTTGACGAAGACTATTGGGGACGGTAGCAGTGCTAGTGCCAGTAGTGGTGAGAGCTCTTCGACTACTGCTGCTGCTGCTACTACCTCTGCTACTTCGTCCGCTACTTCTGCTGCCACTACGTCTGTCGAGGCTACCACTGCTGCCGCTGCTACCCCTACTCAGAATGTGGCTGTTGCTTCGTCTTCTACTACTTCTGCTTCGACGACCTCGGCTGCGACTACCTCCAGCTCCGAGTCTACTGCCGCGGCTACCCCCTCTGCTTCTGCCCCTGTCATCGCTACGCCCTCTGCTGCTCCCTCTGCTGCTGCTGCCTCTGAATCTGCCGCTCTTCCCGTTCCGACGACCGCCTCTGAGATCCTCACTGATGTGCGCGCGCTGTTGACTGCCCTTCTGACTCGTCAGGGAGTGCATGCTCGTGATTTTACTGTTTAGACAATTCCCTTCATTGAGATGGGTGGGTATATAGTGTGGTTGATGATATTGTATTACTTAGTGTGTTTGGTGTGAATTTTAACCAGTTAACATGGGTATCACCACACGAGTGTCTCTTTCTTCTGACGTCCGTTGATAAGCTGCTCCGCTTGATCCTCTACCCATCGCTCAATCTGTGAAGGTTAGTAAAGTGAAAGTCCAGACCGGGTCGGAGACACGCACATTCGTAAACTTGCTCGACAGCCATACTGCCACCGTCAATAGCAGTAGAACTCCTCCAATGAGAGGATACCAGCGCCATGAAGGGTTGTCGCTGAGTATATCCACGTTCATGCCGAATAAACTCTGTTCAGTTAGAATAGACTTGTCGATGGATGGTGGTATGCTCACCGACGCAAATGTCAAGGGAAGAAAAATGAACTACCCATCCGTTAGTTGCCATGGTTGACAAGAAAGCAGACATACCGTAATCCAACTGAGCCGTTTCATGCTCGTCGCCAAGCTAGTCGACCGGTGCGCCTCATTGATTGACACCCACGCAAATTCCTACCGATATTAGCCGTACGCTCACCGACTGCCACAAGGGAAGCATACAATTTGCAGCAAATCGCGCACCGTCTGCTCTAGCTTATCAATCTGTCCTGATATCTCTTTGTCTAACCCATCTATCATACTCTGCATCTTTTCACTGAACTTGCGCGTCTCGCTGAACCGCTGGTACTGCGTGACAAAATACCTAGCCTGGCTAAGCTGCTCGGCCAATGATGCTTGAACTTGCGTCCATTGCTGCATGCTTTCCGCGATGGAGTCAATAAGGCGGTCATCTTTGCCTCGGGCAGTCAATTGATGTGTTCGCTGCGTAATTAGCAGTAGACCAACATAATACTTCTCAAGAACATACCAGCCGTCCCAAGTACCGCCGAGCCTCCCGGCAAAACGCGATCCAGTCGTCCCGCCATGTTTGCATAAACAGCTGCACCAGCTCCAGGTCACTCTCGGGGATCCATCCGTATGACAGGTTGCTGAAGTAGTGGATAGTCTTCTGGGGCGCTTCCAGAACGGCCCATTCGATGATGCGGACCTTGCGGTCGTCGTCTTGGTCGTCGGTAAAGGAGGTCCCGATCTTCATGTCCAGGCGGACAAACAGTGAGAACGTTCGACAGGGACTTTTATTTCCGAGAGAAAATTGCAGCTCGTTTGGCGTATCGGTTAGTTGGCAATATGTGTTCCAATAATGATTTTCCCGGAAGAGTCTGAGTTGCATCAGCATCACGTCCCCATAGAGCCATTATTCGCTTGATCAGCTTACAGAAGATGTGTCTCGTCTGCCGTCTTTGGCATTGCCTTTATGTCTTGGTACAAAGTATCGTCATTGATCCAACGCGCCGCACGCCGTCCATCCCTGTAGACCACAATATCCACTGCGACACTGGATTTCAGCCCACGGCCATATCTCCCATCGTAGCCATCGTCAAGCGTCATCATCTGCCTCCGATGGCTTAACAATGCTGTTAACGCCGCACGATCACCATCTGGAATGGTCATATCCATCACAGGAATTGAGGCACCATCGGTCCGGGTGTGAGCCAACAGTAAATTTGCTGGTGTTCCAGCCACGCTGCAAGGACCAAACCAGTCCCCGTTCTCCAGCCCATCTACTCCAGCCTTGTGTTCTAGAAGAATGGCCACCGTCGAGCGATCGGCCTGCTGTAGCGCCCATCTCATCAGAGGAATTGGGCTCGACTCATCCTCGTTGCTCAGATCTGGCTTGTACCGCTCCAGGAACGGTTTCAGCAATCGAGCTCGGCTCTCTTGAACCATCAGCTTTAGCGACACAATATCGTGCTTACGATCTCTGTCATCCCCGGAGCCAGACATCAGCATATCCGCTATCTCGTAGTGACTCCATTCAAGCGCGTACACCAGTGGGGTCTTCCTGTAACGATCAATAGAATTAGGGTCTGCCCAGGTCGTCTTCAGCAGCTCTTGTACAAGCGCCGTGTCACCGCGTTCACTCGCCCAGGCTAAAAAGGTTCGTCGGGCCTTGGTCATTGGCTCCACACCATGCGTCGGTCCGAGAGCGGCGAGCCACTGCTGAAAGTCCTCAGGATGCTGCCCGTTTGACTCTCGTCTCTTATTGTGGTTACTGATGACCCACCAGAGTGGAATCTGCCCCTCGTGGTCGTGGATATCGGCGCTAGCACCGTGCGCAACCAGTGTGCGCACGGTATCCAAGTGCCAATTTTCGGCAGCCCATGATAGCGGAGTCCGGCCCCGGCTGTCCTTGCTATCTGGATCCGCTCTGCCAGTGGATAGCAATAACTCCACGATGGTGCAGAGTCCTTGTCCCGCTGCACGTGATAGCGGCGTACGACCACGGGAGTCTGCGATATCGGAAGACACTCCCTTCTTCAGAAGGAGGTCTACCATATCGCGATTCCCACATTTCACGGCCCAATGGAGAGGTGTTTCGCCATGGTGGTCACCAAGGTCGGGATTGGCACCTCTGTCCAGGAGATACTGCAACAGAATATCGCAACGCTTCTGCTCTTCTAAGGACTGGACCTGTGAGAGATCACAGGATGCGGCCCAGGAGAAGGCCGTCCGACCGGTCTGGTCTTGGACGTTGGGGGAAACGCCATAGAGGAGGGATTGAACCTCGGGAAGCAAGCCTCGGTGGGCGGCCCGCATAAGCTGGTCAATACGGTCATCGTCCAATTCCAAGTAGATGGCTGCAGGAGACTTCTCCATGCTTATGTACATTAGGTAGCATCAGCGGAGGAAGAGGTCTTCGTGGGATGAAGCGATGGAGTCAGCCTCAGCCTCGCGGGGGCGTTCGCCGCCGCTTATTGGTCGGAAGATCAGCATAGCGGCATGGCATTCAACAGCCGTCCAGACATTATATCTGGAGTCTGTAGGGCTGATTCATGATGGTATCTGGGAGAATATGAAGTGACTAGACCCTCTCTAAGTCTATCCATTGCCACTGTGACCACAGCTCAGGTCTGAGGGAAGGCGCTTGCTGGGGAAAGCACGCGTAATCCGTCCAAGCTAGTTGATTAGTGCTTGTCCACTGCTGGGACTGAAGCATGGACTTCAGAGGTGAGATATCGGCAACTAACGTGCGTCGGCAGTCGGAATACTTCCGATTGCTAGACCGTCATTTGGATGGCTTGAAAGTCAACAATATGAAGCTTAATCTTTTTTCCGCAGGAATCAGAACCGCGGAGTAAGGCGTGCTTTTCCCTGCAGAATACGAAAGGTCGAGCCAACCCCACATATCAGTAAGGTTAAACTGCCCGTAGCAGCCGGGCCATGTGTCGTTCGCCAAACCCCCGCGTCAAGATTCTGAAGAAACATAGTGGTGGTGACCATGAGAATGCTATAGAGGATGGCGGTACACGTGAGCCAATTTCTGCCCCAGGCTATACCCACGTGACGAGATCACAACAGCGGGATCTGGAGAAGAGACTAATCCAAACCGAGACTAGGTCAGGCGTCCATGAATGCTTGATGGGATTCCAGTACGTAAAGTTTTGAGAGGCCACGAGGGACGTGCCCATACTGGAAGCATCCCCGAACCGTCTACAGCAGCTGCTCGAACCATCAGACCATTGGTGCAGCTATCAGTTCAGCTTAATTATTCCGGTTAGCTACGGAGTGAGATGCAGGTGGATAAATCAGGCGTCTCGTTGGGAGTTTAGACACTACTGCATGAGGATGAGTGCAGCAGCAGTAGCAGCAGGCAAAGATATCCTCCCAGGGACGGGAATCGGACTGATAGCAGCGTGAGTCTATCCGGATAATTCTTTTCGGCCTCCACCCACTTGGCTTCGTCGAAGCTCCACTGCCAAGACCCGCATGGTCTTGGCATTGTATGATTATCAGATGTGATTGGTTGCGGCTGATGCCGTTATCAGTGCTGGCGGTGGTGTCATCTCCGACTTGCCTCTATCAGTTTCATATCTTCTACTCCCAGATATCTCATTTTATTTCCGCTTCCTTCATCAATAATATACCAGTCGTACTTTCCATGGTTCAGGTTAGTTTATCTTCTGAGACATCATCCGGACCAGTCAGAGCACGCAATGCTTGGCCCTCACTGGACCTCATCCATTGGCCAACTCGGTCCCTGAACTTGCTTTTTTTCTCCATCCTTCTTGTTACGGTCCCCCCGAGCCAGCCTTATCCCCAGCTCTCTCGGTGACTCCGAGTCTCACTCCTTTCCAGCCCGCATACTTGCTTTTTACAAGCCATTCTGCATGGTTGGGAGCTGAGATAGAGTAGACGCCCCCTACTCGCTGTGTCCACCTGCCACCCCTGTGCCTCTCAGGAGAGACGCGTGGGAGTGCGGGGATTGTGGAAGATCCCACGGTTGGACATCCATCCGGCTGCATTAGCCACTACACTTGCCGCGTTGGCGAGAAAGCTAGATAGACTAGTTTAGCCGGTGCCATCAGACATGACTAGTGGTCCCGTTCCTATTCAATCCGCCCTCAGATAGTCCGATAGCAGCGTCGCTTCCCACCGCGAGGAGTCCACGATGTCTAGTGGAAGCTAATCCTGCTCGTCCGCCACCATGCAGGGACTTGGACAAATGATCGCGCGTACTTCAGATAACTCTCCTGTATGGACGTAATCTCATTTGCCCACACTGCTTCCCCCAGTTTCTTATCCACTCCGGACCACATGCCACTCGGGCTGCAACGGCCATGTTTGCCACAGAAACATGGAACAGAGCATGTCCGGGTGCCAGCTGTGTGCGTTCTAGATGGACGCTAGAACCTCCTTGGATAAGCCTCCCCACTGCATGGCCGCATAGACAGCGGCGAAGAAGTGCACCAACCCATCGCGTGATACTGTCTGTAATGCAAAGTAGATAGTGGCTACCATCCATATTGGGTCCCGATCTCCGACGCTGCACCGGTGGGAATTAGGCCTTGGCACTAGCCAGCTTCGAGGCATCTGGAGTAGTCTCCGCGCACTGATAGTGGCCCCGAAGCGAGCCTGTCGCAGCTTACCCAAATGCAACACCCAACCGGTTAACTAGGTCGCTTGTCTCTCGGCTGCTTCTCGCCTCCCATGGGTTTATTAGTCTCTTGCTCCCCAGGCTGATCCCTTTTTTTTTTTTTCTTGTGCGATCGTCTTTCCCATCCATTTTCCATCCCTCCAGTCAGACCCTGTCAGGGCCCGTGTTCGCCAAGATGAGTGATCCCGTTGGCGCAGACGATCTGGTCTATGTCGCACAGGCCCATGCTCCCCAACAGGAGATCCAGGCAGTTGAAGAGAAGAAGGAGTCTCATCTCCCCATTAACGAAAAAGAAACCGCGGTGGTGTCGGCCGTGTCATCTATCCGCGATTTCCACGATGATGGGCGCGAGTACCCCACCGAGGAAGAGGAGCGGACACTGCGTCGAGTTTCTGACACGGTCAGCTGGACAGCTTACACGGTCGCGTTTGTCGAGCTGTGCGAGCGCTTCTCATACTATGGAACAACTGCAGTTTGTATGTGTAGCAGGAGGTTGTCAAAAGCTGTGACTAACCCTGATTAGATGTCAACTTTATCCAGCAGCCTCTCCCCGCCGGCTCCACCACGGGTGCCGGGTACAGTGGACAGTCGGGTGCTCTGGGCCAGGGTGAACGGACCTCCACTGCACTGACTACCTGTAAGCCTTTTCTAACATCGCGAAAATGAAAACTATGCTAACTGACTCTCAGTCAACACCTTCTGGTGCTACGTCATGCCCATCTTGGGTGCCTGGATTGCCGATGAATACTGGGGTCGTATGCGAACCATCCAAGTCTCCATCGGTTTTGCTATGCTTGGTCACATTATCATCATCATCTCCTCTATTCCCCCGGTTATTGTACATGCGAACGGTGCATTGGCCTGCTTCGCTGTTGGTCTGGTGATTTTCGGTATTGGTGTGGGTGGATTCAAGTAGGTGTTGTCACTCCCCATTGAGGAGTCAAGCCTAACCATCACAGGTCCAACATCTCGCCCCTGATTGCCGAACAGTACAAGGAGACCAAGCTTTTCATCAAGACCATTCCTAAGACCGGTGAGCGCGTCATCGTCGATCCCGCGCAGACCATCACTCGCATCTTCCTCTACTTCTACTTCATGATCAACGTCGGCTCCCTTATCGGATCCGTAGCCATGGTGTACGCAGAGAAGTACGTGGGATATTGGCTGGCGTTCCTTTTGCCGACCATCATGTTCGGTATCTGTCCAATTGTTCTGTTCTTCTGTCGCAAGCGGTACACGGTGACGCCCCCGACTGGATCGGTTGTGACCAAGGCTTTCCAGCTGTGGAGCCTGGCCCTTCGTGGCCAATGGTCCTGGAACCCTGTCACATTGTAAGTCTATCACAAGCATTGTTGATAACTTTGCTAACGAAATCAGCTACCACCGCTGTCAATCTACCGAGTTTTGGGACAGCGTCAAACCTAGCCGTCTTGCCAACAAGCCCAGTTGGATGACCTTTGATGACAATTGGGTCGAAGAAGTGCGTCGTGCCGTCAAGGCCTGTGCTGTCTTTGCCTGGTACCCTCTTTACTGTTAGTGTCCCCATCTCGACCTGAAGCCATATGGTCTTTCTAACTGATCCCCGCAGGGCTGGCCTACGGACAAATGACCAACAACCTGACATCTCAGGCGGCCACCATGCAGCTGCACGGCGTGCCTAACGATATCATCAACAACCTGGACCCCCTTGCCCTCATTATCTTCATCCCGATCATGGATCAGTTCTTCTACCCGGGTCTCCGCAAGATGGGCTTCCACTTCACCCCGATCAAGCGTATCTACGTTGGATACCTGCTGGCCTCCGCATCCATGATTGCCGCTGCCGTCACGCAATACTACATTTACAAGCTGAGCCCATGTGGCAACCACCCCAGCACCTGCGACGAGGCCGCTCCCATCAACGTGTGGGTGCAGGCAGTGCCTTACGTGCTGATTGCCTTTTCGGAAATTTTCGCCTCCATTACTGGTTACGAGTATGCGTATACCAAGGCGCCGAAGAACATGAAGAGTTTGGGTAAGCCCTCTTCCTGAATGTGTCAATTAAATTGTTACTAACAAGTACTAGTTCAATCTCTTTACCTCTTCATGAACGCCATTTCATCTGCTATCCAGCAAGGTCTTACCGCCCTGTCAACCGATCCCCTCTTGATCTGGAACTATGGGTTCGTCGCCGTGCTGGCTTTCGTCGGTGGAAATCTCTTCTTCCTCTGCAACTTGAAGCTTGATAAGGAGGAAGACGAGTTGAACAACATCGAGGTGTCGGCATATCTGGGACGCAACGCGGGCGAACCCGGAAAGATCGAGGCGTAGTGATCATGGTGTATGATTTATGGTGATGGATACAATGTATACTTAATGCATGAGTTATGCTATATTAATAATGTTGATGTCTGATATTATATGCTTTACATGCCACCTACTTTGCTCCACTGACAATACTTAACCGAATCTATACCATTGAAGTAAGTTATGACATCATTCCGTCCACCCGTCAATCTTCCGTCGGATGTGGATATGTTTGTCTCAACCCGACACTATATATAGCTTCCAAGACTTGCTAAATAGTACTAGTATACGAGGTGACTCAACAAGAACCCGCAAAGCACACGCGGCCAGGATCTTGGCTTCCGCCATGCCTCGACTATTATATACCAACGATGTCCCAACTACTTACCTGCAAGCTACCAACGAAACATCGCAGCTACTACTACCACCATGCAATCCACCCAAGAACCCGCCGACATCGCCATCATCGGCGCCGGCATTGTCGGCTCGGCCCTAGCATACTACCTCTCCAACAACAACACAACCAAGAAAATCATCCTCCTTGACCGCTCCCTAACCCCCCTCAATGGCTCAACCGGCCACGCTCCCGGCTTCGTCGGCCAATACAACGACAGCGCCATCCTCACCCGCCTCGCCAGAGACACCGTGCAGGAGTACACCACAATCCCAGGCGGCTTTGACACCATCGGCGGGATCGAGCTGGCTACGAGCCAGACAGGCGCAGAGCGTCTCCAGCGCCGATATGATTCGGCCAGAGCAGCAGGCCTCCCTGCCGAGCTTATCTCCCCGGAGGAAGCAGCCCGCATGGCCCCAGCCCTGATCAAGAAGGAGGATGTCACAAGTGCGTTGTACTTCGCCAGTGATGGTGCAGCTAATGCTACCTGTATCACGAGGTTCTATCAAGATGAAGCGCGCGCTAGAGGCGTCGAGTGCATCGAAGCAGATATTACTGGTATTCATAAAGATGGCAATGGTCGCGTGGATGGCGTGAACACGGGTACAGCTGGATTCATCCCCGCTAAGACTGTCATCATCGCTACGGGTATCTGGGCCCCTGAGCTTCTACCGGACATTAAAACCCCTATCCCCATCGTCCCCGTCGCTCATCCATACATGTACGGGCCTTACCACGACCAGAAGAAGGTACCATCCCCATGGATCCGCTGGCCCGACCACCACGTCTACGCGCGCGACCACGGCCCCTTCTACGGCCTCGGCTCGTACAACCACGCTCCTGTCGCGCAGGAACCAAAGGGTACCGCCATCGGCGAGTGGATTTCTGAGTTTGACAACACTTTGAAACACGCGCTGGGATTCATCCCACCCGAAACTGGTCTCATTCCCAGAGAAACATTCAACGGGATTTTTTCCATGACGCCGGACAATTTGCCCCTTGTGGGTGAGGTTCCTGGGTTAGAGGGCGTGTATCTGGCTGCTGCGGTGTGGGTTACGCATGCGGCAGGCACTGCGAGGTTTTTGTGTGATGTGTTGGAAGGGAAGGAGGTGGATGGGGAGATCAAGGAGGGGTTGGATCCGGGAAGATTTGCGGGGAGGGATGGAGAGACACTTAAGGAGGTGGCGTTAGGGGGGTATAATGAGATCTATAGGGTTGGCGGTGCAGAGTTGTAATAATGGAGATAGTGTGTTGAGTGCAGATTACTTGGGCCGGAGATATCGATGTTACTAGATGATGACAGATCCACATAAGCACCATAAATATACACCAACCATTCTCATTCGTGCTCGCAGATAACCTTCATGGATCCTTTCAATTTTGTAGACGAATGTCCCGAATACGGGGACTTAAGCGCTTAACTCCGGTGTCTCCGTTCAGCTACCAACATTTAAGGCATGTACCTTCTCCTCACATTGTAGCTTTGTATCATACATCACTGTTAATCTTAAAATCTATACACAATGCGAACAGAACCATACCAAACATGGCTCATCACCGGAGCCTCCTCAGGCTTAGGAAAGGCCATTGCCGCCGAGGCCCTCATCGCCAATCACAGGGTCATTGGCACGACGCGCGACATTGATAGGGCTGAAACTTCTTATCCTGAGTTCGCTCCCAATGGCGGGATCTGGGTATGTCTCGATCCTGCTCAGCATGATGCATATGAGCGGTTTTCGAGGGTAGCTGTGGAGTATAATGTGGATGTGTTGGTGAATAGTGCGGGGTATGCGTTTATTGGGGCGGTGGAGGATACAAGGTACGCTCTTGCTTTAACACCCTTTCATGACATATGCAGTACCTACAATGATGTGTTCATGGAACTAGCTGATTTATTCCTCAGTGAAGAAGAAGTCCGCGCCCAAATGGAAGTCAACTTCTACGGCCCCCTCCGGGCTGCGAGGGCTTGTCTGCCTATTATGCGTGACAAGGGGTCGGGACATATTATTCTTATTAGTAGTGGAGCTGGGTATGTCAAGTCAACTTGTTCCATGAAACCGTACCAAATTAACAGCACTGATTCAAATATAAAGAATTATCGCCCGCCCCGCCCGCTCCACCTACGCCGCTAGCAAATTCGCCATCGAAGCGATCTACGAATCGCTTGCCCAGGAAGTGAAGCCCTTCGACATCAAAGTCCTGATAGTCGAACCCGGTGCATTCCGCACCCCATTTCCGGGCCGACAGGTCTTTCCTAGTGAACCTGGGTTGGACATGGGATACAGTAATGTATACAAGGGTACGCCGGTTGAGGAGATGGTGACGTTATCGAAGGATATGAACTCGACGACGAAGTGGATTAAGGGCGATCCTGAGAAAGCGGCTAGGGCTCTGGTTGTAGCTGTTGATAATGGGTATGCGGGATATGGGTTTTTGAGGATGCCGTTGGGGAGGGATTGTGTGAGGGTGTTAGAGGAGAAGATAGCCACGTTGCAGGCGGATTTGGAGGCGACTAGGGAGGTGGCGATGGGGACTGATGTTGATGTTGATGAGGAGTGAGGTGGGTTGAGGTGTGTATACAGTTCGAAGATATGTGGCTTGTTGTATCAAGAACTGGGGTATCTTGAAATGGGGAACCTCAAGGGTTGGGTGATGATACCTTCATAGGTCAAATTTATATCCTGTTGTTCAAGTCCGATGTGAACACAGTATTTGTAGAAGATTAGCGAGTGCTCGTTGAATGGTAGCTAGATTGCCTACCGTATAGCTAGTATCCAATTCAGCAACTCATCAATGCTCAATACTGGTTGCCTGCACTAAGGATGCACCAATGCCTTCCGAGAACCCTAAATCATTAGTCCGGTTTAGCATGCATCCATGCATCCACCGTCATACTTAAACACCGTCTCCCTCGTATTCATCCCTCTTTTCAACAACTCCCTTCCCTCTCACAACTACAATAACGATGCTCTTTGTTCTCCTCATCGTCATCCTCCCCATCATCTACCTTATCCACAATTACTTCACCGATCCCCTCTCTCGCATTCCCAACGCCCATCCCCTCTCACCACATACCACCAAATGGATAACCCACCACCGCAACCGCACCACAGAAGTGAAAGCCATCTACACCGCCCATCGCGCCCGCGGGCCCATAATCCGCCTTTCGCCCACCGAACTCAGCATCAATTCGCTTGAAGGCCTGCGAGCGATCTATACGCAGGGCGCGTTCGAAAAACATGCGTTTTACGCTGAGACCTTCATCAACTTTCATACGCCGAATATGGTAGGTATGCTGGGAAATAAATCTCACGGGGAACAGAAGAGGTTGCTGAGTGGGGTTTATGCCAAGAGCTATCTGCTCAGGTCGGGGGATGTTAGGATTCTGGGGCGGGAGATGGTAGTTAGGAGGCTGGGAGAGTTCTTGAAGGGAGTCGTTGCTGAGGGTGAGGTGGTCAATGTGTTGCCTGTTTTTCAGGCTGTGGGTATGGATTTTACCTCTGGGTTTGTGTTTGGAGCGCAGGGTGGGACGAGGTTCTTGGAGGATTTGGCTTCTTGGGGAGTGTGGTTGGGACAGTATGAGGTTTTCAAAAGCATGAGCAGGGAGGATAGGTTTATGGGCTTTGTGGAGAGGTGGTGTTTGGGGTTGTGTGAGGGGGTTGGTCTTTCGAAGGAGGATGGAAGCCCGGTGACGCAGGCTGTGGTTTATGATCGGCTTTGGGAGGGATTGGAGGAAAAGAAAAAGGTGTCTGGCGAGGATATAAATGTGAAGTTAGCCGTTGCATCGGAGATATTGGATCATTTGGTGGCGGGGCATGAGACGACTGGTATTACCATCACGTATATCATGTGGGAGCTGTCGAAGACGCCGGATTTGCAGACAAGACTGAGAGAGGATCTGACTACATTGTCTGGGTCGTTAAGGCATACTGAGGAGATGGAAAAAGAACTGCCTCCGTTGGCAGACATCGATGCACTTCCGTTGCTGGATGCCATCGTCCGGGAAACTCTCCGACGACACGCACCGGCTCCGGCACCGTTATCCCGGGTGACTCCACCAGAGGGAGCATGGATACATGGGGATTATATCCCCGGCGGAGTACAGGTCAGTTCGTCTGCATATTCACTGCACCGGATTGAAGAAGTTTTTCCGTCTCCGGAGGAGTGGATTCCCATGCGTTGGATGGATGCGAAGGATGACAAGATCCATGATATGCGGCGCTTGTTCTACCCGTTTGGGACTGGAGGAAGGATGTGTCTGGGGAGCAATTTTGCACTTCTGGAGATCAAACTAGTTATAGCGATGATTTATGCCAACTACTCACCCGAGATTGTGGATGATGAGGATATCGAGCAGCACTTAGAGTTTATTGCGTTGCCAAAGGGGAGGAAGATGATGGTGCGGTTTGTTCCCGTCGAGGGTAGTGCTTTCTAATATAGTCAGAGTTGACAGAGGAAACCTTTTTCCATCCTCGAAATAGGATATTCTAAGCCAGGTAGTTGATAGAAGCTATGGACATACCTTCACCCCATGGCACCCAACCCCATATAGCCGACTGTGCCATTCTCAATGTTCACTGATCTAGTCAATTCTGCAATGTGAGGTCGGGGGTTAATGTCATCGGAGAAGCACAATCTGCCAGTAATGGCCATGATAGTGGTTAAACCTTCTGTTATTAATACATGTCATCGGACCACGATATATTTCATTTTGTGAGGGCTGAAATGGCCTCAGGCCCTCAACCCGTTGGGTATATTGTCCCGTGATCCGGCAGAAGGAGAGACTCGCACCTGCCGATGAGAACAACGACTGGAATCCCCCTCACTCATTACATACTAACGCTCCATTCACCTTTTAGAAAACAGACTTCAGTCATTGAATGGTTCTCAGTCACTTCCTGCTACTCAGGTGCTCCCTACGTCATGTTTTTCACTAGACAGCAGCACGCAGTCATGTCAACCCACTTTGTGCAACAGTGATCAACTCCACATGATGAGCTGAGTTTCTTGTCAAAGTCTATTGGCAAATAACATTCAGATCTCTAGCAGACCGTGCACACAGATGATATCTGTTCTCTGAAGTCTGACACGCCGTCGCTGGTCGCATTCAGGTAGCCAAGGAACAGTAATCAGCACGCAGACAAGAATGGCAGCATACAAATTAGCTTCTTTAAACAAGGGGATACCACAGGTAGTAAGGTACCCATGCAGGTGAATATGTGCCGCCTGTCACGGCAGCAACGCCTTGCCTTTCACCATGGCAAGGAGCCGGCATGGCTATTGCGCAGGTGCAGTGCGTATTTATTCGTCAAATGCCGCCTAGACTGGCACTCTTATTAGTCCACCGCACGAATACCAACTATGCTATAGCCCGTCTCTTCCAACATGTCTACACTTCCTTCATTTTCAGATTTGCACGGGATGCCTGAGCCGATATTCTACCCCTGTCAGGTTCGACATACCAGGGTACATCCAGTTGTTCATTCATTCTCCTATTCCTATCTTTGGGTTGTGCTGCCTGTTCGGTGGCGGGGCAACAGTATCGAGAAATACAACTCGCCTGTCGTCGGCTCTGGATGGTTTACCGTGGATCCCGGTGATTACCTGGAAAGAGGCAACCATACTGGACTACACGGGAAGCTTCGTCAGTATCTGCATAGTCAGGTAAAGCCGTCCGTCATCTGCGCGTGTGTCTCACTAATCTTCAACCCAGCGCCTCCGGGATGAAGAATACCCCTACGTCTTTCTTCTTACTGCTCCCAAAGTGTTAGGCCATGTCTTTAATCCCGTCTCTTTCTGGTATTTATATTCCATCAATAAAACCTTGGCCGCGGTTATCTTAGAGGTGAACAACAACTTTGGTGAGCGGCATATGTACTTGCTCCTATCGACTGGGTCAACTTCCGGGGACACTAGTGTTGCCGATCCTGCAGATCAGCCTTGCCATACATTGAACCGCTTCTCCAGCACCTGGTCGAAAGACTTTCATGTTTCACCGTTCAATCCCCGAGAGGGCATGGCATATACCCTAACCACCGCTGATCCCTTGCGGTGCGAAAGGCCGATCGACAGTCGAATCGTGCTAGTTGCCTCCAATCGGGTCCGACTCATTGCTTCTATCCGCGCTACGGGGCCGGCGATCCTCCCAGCTGCTCTCTCCGCCTACCAGCGATCCCAGCTGATCTTATCGTGGGGGTGGGTGGGGGCTTTAACGGAGCCACGCATCTATTTTCAGGCTGCAATGCTGCATGTGCAACGGAAATTACGGGTCTGGTCTCTACCGGTGCCATTGGAGAAAACAATCAGTCGGCGCGCAAATCGACTCGAACGTTCGCTTGAGTATTTTGTTAGGGGATACCTGCGGCATCGAGTGGAGAACACTGACGGATCATTTACCGTGCGGTATTCCGCTGCAGGACTGTTTGCCAACGACGCGGTCGAGATCATGCAATCACCCTCGGCGCGTGCAGTTTCGAGCAAATGCCCGGACAAAGCCGTTGGATTTCGGGTTCTACGGCCGGACTTCTACACCTCCTTCGTAGAGAGTCAAGCCTTGACCGCCGAAGAAGTCTTCAAGCTCTTGGCGGGACATGATTTCCTGCGCGTGTCGCGCATGAATGTGCTTCGGGATCTATTCTGTGACGAATCAGGCTCGTTTCCAGAACTTGCCAAACTCTCTAGAGCCGGTTGTCTCGCTTTCCGAATCATCGCCTGGTTCCGAAAGGGGCGGCCCGCAGCGAGTGCTGGTCTGCGTTCTTTGTCCGCCCTGGACTACTACGTGCTGACCAGCTGTAGTCCTGCTGAGCAGAGGCACTACGGGATGCAAGTGATGAAGTTGTTTCTTAGTCGCTACTTTGCCTTTGGGAACGTACCGCTCTTTGAAGGTGAAGTTCTTGTCGCCCTCCTGGCTGTGGGGTGGGGTCTCCTGGCCACCCTTAGTCTGGTTTATTCTCCAGATGATACCACTGTCTGATCAATTCTTTGTCATATGGTGCGGTAGAGCGGTAGTTTATTGGTATTGATTCAACGCTACTGCCCAACAATTACTCCTGTAGCCACACATGGTCAAATGCAACCTGCTCACTTACTGAAAGTCTGGTACAATGAAAAAGCTATCGTAATTTACATCCCAAATCAGATTTCTCTGTGCGACCACGGATACTTTGATGATGCTATGGGCGGAGGAATCTCGGCGTATATTCGTGACCCTGCAGCTAGCTTTAGGGTAACTTAGTCACCTATCTCCTTAACGTCATCTTCGCCTTCTCCTCGATGGTTCGTCCAGTGGACACAAAATTGACGCATGCCCATTCCCGCAGTCTATCTTTCTTTGCGGGTTTCTAACGCCCCGACAAAATTACTGGCTTTACCATGAACCGGATGACCAGCCAACATTAACCCAAACTTTATCAACAAGTGTGACGCGAACCGGGAGCTTAACATCTCGCTCGGACTGCTCGGCATAGAACCCTAATCTGGTGGAATACCATGAAATGATCGGACTAGCCGCCAAATCCTGCTACAACATCAGCTGAACGTAACGGTCACACAAAGACCAGGGGTACGTGCTACGAAAACGTAACTCGGGCGGTGAATTCTGGGAAGGGAATGGTCGAAGTGATTTCTGTCCAGCTTGCAGGAACATGGCAAGGGAATGTACACGTACGGTTTAGCTGCATGCATAGTGACAAAGCACGTCATGCTGTTACTTGAGTGAAGTAGCATCCGCTGCCAAGCAACAAGATCTTGGTCAATCTTTCTGTAGAGTATCAAGTTAGGACATAAATAGCCAGTAGCCAGCAGGAATCACGCTCATGATCTACAGAGTGTACACTGAATATCGTTAAGATCGCTCATTACACGACATGGAAGACAGGTGCTGTGCTCTATATACCATAGCTGAGTTTTAGCTAACATCATTTAGCAAGAAGATAGCCATCATTGGCAGCGGAGCTGCTGGCATGGCTGCCCTCTGGGCCCTTCACCAGCACTCCCCTCACCAGGTCTACCTCTACGAGGCGGCTCCTCGTCTTGGAGGCCACATCAATACTGTAGAGTTCAAGAAGGGAGAAGATGGCGTCAATGTCGACACTGGATTTATTGTGCTCAACAATTCCACCTATCGTAAGTTTCCACTCTTCGACTTCAGACCTAGTCTAACGGAACAGCCAACTTCCTGAACTTCCTCAAAGCCATCAATGTCCCAACCACGCCCTCGGAAATGTCGTTTAGTGTTTCACGATTCTCCGATTCGGGGTCTTTTGAATGGGCAGGCTCCTCCTTGAGAAACCTTTTCGCTCAAAGAAGAAACCTGTTCTCCCTTTCGATGTGGCGGATGGTGTTCGACATGGTGAGGTTCAACCATTTCGCTCCTGACCTTCTCCGTCTCCCAGATGTGGACAATACTATGTCGATAGGCGAGTACCTCGAGAAGGAGGGATACTCGGCATTCTTCCGCGACAACTACCTAATCCCGTTGACGGCGTCGACGTGGAGCACGAGTCCGGACAAGTGCAACTTGCAATTCCCCGCCGTGACCCTCATCCGGTTTTTGTATGTTTTTATCTCTATATAACGTTGATGCAGAGCTAATGCTATCAGATACAATCACAATCTGCTTAATACGCTCGGGAACGGTCTCGAGTGGCTTGGCGTGACGAATGGCGCAAAGAGCTACATTGATACCATCATGGCCGACTTCCCCTCAGATCGTGTCTTTCTCAGCCAGCCTATAGTCTCCGTTGGGAATGATCCAGACTCGGGCAAGGTCAATATCACCACCGCCAACGGCACAACGGCCGCCTACGACCATGTCATCCTTGCTACGCCTGCACCCCAAGCACTATCCCTAGTATCCAAAACAGCAACTCCGCTAGAGAAATCCATACTCTCGGCATTTGAAACAACTACCAACACCGCAGTCCTCCACTCCGACGAGGCCCTCCTTCCCCAGAACCGTCGAGTCTGGTCGACCTGGAACTACCTGAGCAACGGCGCGGCAGACCAGGTATGTGTTACGTATAACATGAACCGGGCGCAGGGGGTCTCGCATGCGAAATACGGGTCGGTGTTGGTGACGATGAATCCGCTGTCTATGCCAGATGAGCGCACGATCCAGGGAGTATTTCAGTATGAGCATCCGCTGTTTACTCCGGCGGCGGTGCGGGCGCAGACCATGCTACCGACAATTCAGGGCAAACGGGGTATAAGTTACGTGGGAGCGTGGACGATGTATGGGTTTCATGAGGATGCGTTTACAAGTGCGTTTGGGGTGGCCGGGGAGCTTGGGGCCAGAATCCCGTTTCCGGTTGCTGATAGTCGACTAAAGGGGTGTGCAGTGAGGGAGGTTAGTTGGTTGGAATATGTATTTAGAATGGTGTTGCAGGGTGTGCAGGGTTTGATAGTGTGGATGGTGGGAGGGGGAGTGAAAGGGAAGCAGAAGGCGAGGTAGATCTATTGCACACTCCGATGAACATTCAGGTCTTTGAATAGACAAGGTTTTTTTCAGTGCTATTCTGGGTGTTGCAATACCTGTCACATTGAATATCCTCCGAGGTGATTATTCACGCAATCTCGTATCATATGATGTACCCCTTGCATAATCTGTCTGACCGAATATGAGTATGATCTACGATGCCAAGATTATTATAGACATACTATCTCGTGTCCACATTAGGAATACTGAACATGGGAGTATATCAGAACAATGCGCGGGTGAACCCTAAGTGAAGCAAGCACCGCATGGATCTCCCGGACTTTCTCCGATGGCTTCCCCACCCGCCAATCCATCATCAACTAAACAACCCCTCGCGCTCTTTACCATCTCTCATTTCACTTCTACCTGTAATCCCTACTCTTCACAAACAACACGACTCCCTCTCAACCTATCCCCACTGCCAAACAACCATGGCCGAATCCCTTCCCCAAACCTACGACGACCTCCCCGACAAGCGGCGCTACTGGCCCGCAGCCCCCAACTCCGCCGACGAGGGCCTGGGGATGCTCCGTCTCCTCACCCCAGAAGTGGTCGCCAACGCAGCACGCACCCAAATTCAGACTGGCGAGCGCGTATGCCTCAACTGGGACCTGGAGAAGCTGAACCCACCAGGTAATCCCCTCCTTCCAACCCATCCTCTATCGCCAACTAACCTAAACACAGGCTTCGGCCGCAAACCCTTCGCCCACCAGGTTAAATGGGTCAGCGAAGGCCACGCCTTCGACGACGAGTACCACTTCAACCCACAGCAATCCTCCCAATGGGACGGCCTACGACACCACAATGCCCCAGCCCCAACACCCGACGACCCTGACCGCCGCGTCTTCTACGGCGGCACCACCTCCACCGAGATCCTCGACCCGTCCTCAGCTCGCATCGGCATAGCCCACTGGGCCAAGAAGGGCATCGCCGGCCGTGGCGTCCTCATCGACTACGCGTCCTACATCCAGCGAACCAAGGGCATAACAGTAAACGCCCTAACCCGGCACACCGTCTCCCTGGACGACGTCCTCACCATCGCGAAAGAATGCAACATCACCTTCCAGCCAGGCGACATTCTCTTCTTGCGTGTCGGCCTGCCCACCACATGGGATAACATGTCCGATGACGAGAAGGTCAAATACAGTCAACAGGAAATGCCTCAGCATGCAGGGTTAGAGCAGAGTGAGCGCGTGGTGCGGTTCCTCTGGGACCAGCATTTCGCGGCTGTGGCGGGTGATGCGGTCAGCTTCGAGGTGTATCCGCCTGTAGAGAAGGAGTGGGATTTGCATCATTTTCTGTTGGCCGGGTGGGGAGTGCCGATTGGGGAGATGTTTGATCTGGAGGGGTTGAAGGAGGTTTGTGAGAGGTTGGGCAGGTGGACGTTTTTCGTTAGTTCGAGTCCGTTGAATTGTAAAACGGGGGTGTCGAGTCCGCCAAATTGTATGGCTATCTTTTAGGTGCATACTTTTGGGTTGGGGTCGGTGTTGAGGGGAGAGAAAGTATTCGTTGGGTCTGTACTGGGTGTATTGTAATCGGACTCGTGGCTGTCTCTGGTATCTGGTTTGATGAGTTCGTTGAGCTGAGCATTAATTGGATTATAGATTCGGACAGAGTATATATTGCCATAGTTCATCTGGGCCACAGTATACTGCACATGGAGAATACGTTCTCTGAGCTTTGGGATAATTTTAGTTCCTTTCTATTGTTTTTCTTCGGTCTGATTCTTTTGTCAATAGCTTCCCATTAGTAAACTACTCATTACAAAGACAGCATTCAACACCATAGCCCAATCAACAATCCCTACGCCCCCATAACCCTATAAACCAATGCCGCCGCCACCACCGGCCCCAACACCCACAACCCGACCCTGCACCCCAACCTCATCATCCCTCTCCACATCACAATTCTGACCTTCTCATCCAACCACTTCTTCTCATTCAAATGCGGAAACGGCACCTCAGGAACGGGCTTGCCCAAAAACTCACACAACGGCTCCCACCCCTGACTCAACTGGAACTCCAACAACCTCTCAGGCGGCGTCAACCGTCTCACCAACGCATAATGCTCCTTATACTTCTCCCGACTGACACGCTTCGCATCCTCCGGTCCCTTGATCCCCAACCACCCCTCAAACGTCGACTTATGCACCTTGCCCAACGGGTGCGTGAACCACCGATCAATGGTATATATGATAGTCACGATAGGATCATATGTGTTGGCAATCACGCCGTTCATCCAGCTCTGGTACCATGAGTCAATATCTCTCTCCACTAGGACTACTTTGGCCTCTGGGTATGCGTTGAGCAACTCCTCGGAGAAAGCGATGGCCGGGGTATCGGAGGATATGGCGGCGTAGTCGTGGAGCAGTTGGTCGAATTCGGCTCGGCCGTAGAGGGGACCTGGTGCGTTGAAGAATTTTCGGTCGATGGCTTCTTGCCACATGGGGATGGTGCCGAATTTGTCTGACATTAGGTGGATTGAGTGCCAGCAGGGGAGGGAGAGGGTTTCGAGGGCGGAGCACATTGCTATTATTCCTTCTCTTAGTATGGGTTTGCTTTTGGTAATTGTTGGGTCAGGGTGTTGATCGTGAGGTGTATAGTAGAATTAAGTACTCACAGGCTGTGCCGGTGCGGTTGAATCCTAGGCAGAGGACTTGGAGTGGAATTGAGCGCTGCTTGCCTCGTGGGGATTCGCTGTTCACGGGGCGGAAGAGTTCGGGGTGGCGGTCTTGGGGGGTGGACATGGTGTTGATGTAGATATAGTATCAAGTAGGAGAGTATGATCAGCTGTATTTTGTCGATTGGTATGTGTAGGAGAAAGATATTTGGTGTTTGAACTACGATAACCATGGTGCTGTTGTAGAGGCATCTTATAGTCCTTTCATTCACTTGTATTAAGCTAGCGCTTACTTGTCGGCAGTCGGAGGAGTGCATTGATTGGCTTGCTCGTTCATGCATTTAGTCTCATTCACTAGCTCGTTAGCGCTTAGTTGGCTGCTTAGTTGGCTGGGGCAAGTTGTATACTGTTGTGGGCAGTGGTAGATGCAGATATTTAGCTGCAATATAGTGAGAGGCTATTTTAAAGTTGGTGATAAATAGATATAGTCTGAGAGAGAAGTAATACATCACAACTATCACACTTCAGCAGGTATACAATGTTCAAGTGGATATCCACGAGGCAGCTAATCAACACTACACCGATTCGGGTAATTCAGATGTAGGCTCTCACTGCGACAAATGTAGATAACCGATTGTAAGATGACAATTAAAGAGATATATAACCACTAATTACTTCGCAACTAATAAAAATAACCTCTACACTTCAGTAATAGACCTTCCAAGATAAGCAAGGGCTAATCACCTGTGATAAGATAACTCCGACGGAGGTACCAAGTACCGAGGTAGTTTTTCCGAGATCGCCCCAAGATTGAGTCTCCGGCTTACTTTCTTACAAACAAACAACTCTCTCCTTGATTCAGTCTCCTTTTAAAACTCATGCAGGATCCCACTCGTTCATTCTCTTCCTGATCTCATCTCCTCCTCCATATTAAAGTACGGGGAATCCCCGTTCCCACTGTACATCCATCTACATCTACATAATCACATAATACATAATAATAATAAACATCACCATGGCCGACCTCTCCACCCTCCGCGAAGTCATCCTCCCCACACTCTTCTCCTGGAAATCCCTCGCCATTGTCCTCGCATTACTCAATCTCAAGAACATTCCTTTCTCGTGGCACGTACGTATCCCATACCCCCATCCACCCATATCTATCAAATACTAACGAAAGATAATGAATCTTAATAGATCCGTCTCCTAACCCACCTTCTCCTCAACCTCCGCCGCTCTCCGACCTCCCCACCCTTCCCAACCTGTCCCCCATCTCCAAGCAGCAAGAATCAAAAGAACATCCAAACCCACCCAATCTTCCACCCGCACACACTCACCACGCGCACCTCCCTCTGGGAAACCGACTACAACTTCCACAAATCCAACAGCACGTATTTCTCCGATCTGGACATCTCCCGCACAGCCATCGTGACAAGACTCTACACACCGGGTTTAGCGCTCGTGAGCTTGGAATTCGACCACGAGTTGAAGAACGGGAAGGATGAGAATGCCAAGGTCAATGTGGGGAAGAAGGTGTATGTCGCGCTGGGATCGACCTACACTAGCTTTAAGAGGGAGATTGGGCCGTTGCAGAGGTATAGGGTGTTGAGTCGCGTGGTGGGGTGGGATCGGAAGTGGGTTTATGTGTTGTCTGCTTTTGTAGGGATGAATTCTGGGAATGGGAAGAATGGGGGGAAGGCGAATGGGAAGGTGTTTGCTACGGCTGTGAGCAAGTATGTGGTTAAGAAGGGGTGGGTTACTGTTCCGCCGGAGAGGGTGTTGAGGGCGAGTGGGATGTTGCCGGAGAGGAGTGTTGATGATGGGGAGGGTGAGGATGGAGTGGTGGTTGAGGAGGAGGAAGAGGGGACGGTGGAGGGGATTGTGGAGGGGGTGGGGGAGGTGTTGAGTAAGGATCAGGATGATCATGCTACAGGACAAGGGGTATCGGATTGGACGTGGGAAATGATCGAGGAGGAGAGGGTTAGAGGGATGAAGATTGTCGAGGGCTATGTGGGGTTGGATGAGAAGTTGTTGGCCGAGTGGGAATAGATTATACCTGCTATCCACATCTGCGATTACACTGCTTTATCTCGGGTTATGTATATATAGATACCACCTAAGACGGATAGATGATATAAGTAGTATAGATAAGATTCATCGTTAATGATCAGTCACGTCATGCACATCATAAACCCTGCTCCATCGTCCCCAATCTCCCTCAATGCACTGTTCATTCAATCAACCGCAAAGCTGATTCTGAAGATCGATTCCAGCTACACACACCACCCATCAGCCAAATCCACCTCAATACTCCAGTTTCAAAGGGGAATACATACTCTGCACCTCATCCCCACACCCACTATTATTCAAACAATCCACCACACCCTGCTGGAAACCGGTATTGGTGCAATAGCAGTTAAGATCACCGTCGCCACAGATCGTGCTCGACTCCACGCAGTTGCCCTGATATCGTTAGCAACTTCACACCAAATTTCATATCATTCATTTCCATGACAAGGCCCAGCAACAACAACATACCAAACAGTCCGGGATACTCTGCGCCGCAGCGAACGAGAGAATCGTGGCGATAGGGAAGAGGATGGAGAACTTCATTGTGACAGGAGCAAGCAAGTAAGTAGTAACTATCTTGGAAGGATAGAATACGAAGGAGACGAAGTGTCGTGCTACCACGAGAAAGTGAGGTGATTTATACTTACCCTCAATCCCTCAATCCATCAGTACTTATGATATAATGAGGACTTTTACGTGCTAGGGATGGTCTCCTTGCGTGAGTGTGGGGGGTAGATCGCATGAATGATACCCAGTGCAAGGGAGTTGAGGGTATAGAGGATCGGTTGGTCGTGTATATGTGTGTCTTGATGATCTTTATATCGGTTACTACTTACTTACTCTTGGTTGCATGTATATTTAGCTCGGATTGTGCATCGTTAGCACTGTGTATATATACGGATGTGTTAAGGTAAGAGGGTGTCATACAAAGGTCGGTGTGATACATGGTATGTAGTATGTGACATCATGGCATGTTTCATACCTCTCCATGTAGAATCTCTTATAGGGACTATGGATACGTCGTGACTCTTCATTCCATGAGTAACTATCGTATCTGCAAGGGGTTGCCATCCCGGGTGTTCAGACGCCACCTTCACGAGGCAGCCACTGCGGTCAATGTGAAACATGCGTCAGTCCTTGCAGGTTGGGTCAACTTCTTCAGTTTCTCAGGACGATAGTACGATAGTACTTGTTCGTGTGAGTGTTAGACGCGTAATCGGTGGAAAGAGATGAGTAACTTGAGACATGACCATAAATTCTAAAATCTATTATGACTGTATCTCTATTCTAAATATATAAACAAGAAATGCACCTATATACGCATCCGAACACTCAAAATATAGACAATGTAGAAAAAGAAGGAGGAAACCAAGTCAAGAAGCAAGGAAAAATCTATGGCAGGCATCACTGCTTCCGCCACTTCTTCACCCGGAACAAATAATAAAACGCCGCCGCCGCCGCAATCTGCACAACAACATACACCCAAAAGATACCAAAGTTCCTCCACTTATCACTTGCCACAATGCCCGACATACTAATATACGCATCCGCCGTGCTCACAGAGCAGTACTCACACCCCGTTGTAGCATTCGGGTTCAGCAGATTCCCCCCAGCAAGCTCCGCATACTGTCCCAGATACTCGCCGCAGGATTGACCCGTCGGGGGGTCAAGAACCGACAACTCCGACGATGAACACACCACCTCCCTTCCTGAGACTTGTGTAGACACCATGGCCGATGCCCAGTATGTGAACGGGGATGCGCGGTACATGAAGATCCAAAAGCCCGGGAGAGCGGAAGGCGACTGCATGATACCGCAAAAAGTCAAGGACATGGCGAAGAGGAGAGTGACGACGGCACTGGCTGTGACGGTATCGGGCATTGCGGCAATTATCATGTGCGCAAAGGTACTGGTGTAGATGAATAATTCAATGCAGAGGATGAGCACGGTGGCTTGTCGGGCGGAGCTTTGAATGCCTACTACCGGGAAGTAGTAGCAGGCGAAGACGATGATGCCGAGAACGATTTGGTACGGTATTTCGACGATGATGTTGGCCATTAGGAATGCTTTCCAACTGTATGCTTTGCTGGGACGTTCGCGGACTTCGTAAAGGTCCCGTTGAGTGATGAAAAGAGGCATGATCTGCTGTACAAGGGAGGGGAAGATAGAGCACAGCATGAAGATCGAATAGATGACCGTCTGTAATCCTTGGAGAGATGATTTGGCGTGGTAGAAAGAGAACCCGATGAAAAGGCCACCAAACACGCCCAGGCCCCATTTTGCCAGCACGTACGAGGGCATGCGCCAGTATTGCTGGAATACTCGGTAGGTGACTTGGTACAACTGGAACCAGAATGGCATGGCAAACTCAGTATGGCTCCATACAGAGTCCTCTTCGGCAGGTGCGTTCTCCTTTTCGGCATGGATGCGATCGATCTCCACTTGGACATCTTGACTCTCGCTGCTTTGTTTCCATACATCGAACCAGTTCTCTCCTTTAGCATTGGAGCCGTTGTTGACCATCTCGAGCATGTACTCGGCCGGGTTCTCGTCCTCTCCGCAAGGGCGGGGAGCGTCATGGGTCTCAAAGTAATCGAGAAGTGTGCGCGAGTTCTCTCCCACTGGTCCGAAGTACACAGTCTTACCGCCGCGAGCAAGGAATAACAGCCGATCGAATTGTTGGAACAAAACAGCGCTAGGCTGGTGGATGGTACAGAGAACCGCCTGACCATGGTCGGCTAAGCGGCGCAAAAAGGCACAGATAGCCCAAGAACTCTGAGAATCTAGACCACTTGTAGGCTCGTCCAAGAAGAGGAGAAGTTTTGGTCGTGCAGCCAACTCGACACCGATGGTTAGCAGCTTGCGTTGCTCAACGTTCAAGCCTTCTCCCGGAACTCCGACTACTGCTTCAGCAAAGTCCTCCATCTTCAGCATAGAGATCACTTCTTCGACATAGTCGTACTTTTCCTTGAGCGAGACATTCGGCGGCTGGCGAAGCAGAGCACTGAACTGCAGTGATTCCCGAACAGTGGCTGTCTGAAGATGGAGATCCTGTTGCTGAACATACCCGGTCTTTCGCTGGAAGCTAGCATCCAGCCCTTTGCCGTTGACGAACATGTCGCCGGTGATCACACCCATGGTGGTACGGTGAGCCAGAACATCAAGAAGGGTTGTCTTTCCTGCTCCACTGACGCCCATGAGTGCAGTGAGGGTTCCAGGCTTGACCCAGCCCGACACATGGTCCAAAAGCCGTCTGGTCTCTCCCTTAATGTCGACATCATAACACACATCGCGCCAGGTAAAAATGTCCTGTTGCGGAGCGAGTCCTCCGAGGTTCTCTGATTTTCCCGTGTCAGTCGGCTTGATGGTACTCAGCTCAACTCCATTCTCAACATCAGCAGACTTTGGGCCCGTAGTACGCGACAAGGCGCGCTTCTGGCTGCGGTGAAAGACCAATACCTCGGCTGTGCTGGTGGTGGATGAGTTCAGCTCCGTAGCCGCGAAGTAGATCGCCATGAATGCGATCAAAAAAGCAATCAATATCCCAAAGTTGCGCCACACGTGGCTGTAGTAGTACCTGAAATTGACGGCGATGTAACGATCTCCACTGACGAGCTTCTCGCCGGCAGTTGATCCGGACGTGGAACAAACGAAGGAAGACCCATTCATGTCAGCGTATGACGGAATAAATGAAGAGCAGGGAAATTCGCGACCGTGGAACTCGTTGGCGACAAGTATTTCAAATGCGTAGTAGATCGGATCTAGCAAGTCAGCAAGAGTCAACTAGGAAACAAAAGGAACATGAGACATACTGATGTAATGAATCCATTCGAACCAGGGATGCATTGAAGGAACGGGCAGCACAAATCCAGTATAGACGACCAAAGCCAGGATCAAAACTCCTGCCAGCGACATGGCCTGGGAGATGGTTTTCGTGACCGCCGCCATAGTTCGGAAGACCGCGCTCATGACAAACATGACAATGAAGGAGATCAGGAAGTAGATAAAGAACTGGGCCGGTTCGCGTCGGAGATTGACCATAAAGTAAAGGATAACGTTGAACGCGACTGCGAGAGCGAACTTTACCGGTATGTCGCTCACCACACCCGCAATAGCCTCTGTTGCTGGATGGTAGAAAGCATAGGAAGCTTGCTTTTCCACAATCGGTCGCTGGGCGTAGAGTGTGTTAATCTCAGACATAGCTGCCAGTGCATTTAAAAGGACGGCGAAGAAGAGCGCCGCCCCTTTAGAAGTGAAAGAAGCAGTGTCATTGGGGGCGTTGTAGTAAACCGAGCCGATGATCAGGGCCATGATGATCTGTCCACAGACCGTTGATACAGTGGTCTGGATATCCATCCATAGCCGTTGATAAGCACGTTTAGTATTCAACTTAATCTGCATGGGTACGCTCAACAGAAATGGCGACTTGGGTCGCGTGTGTTTAGCCTGCACGGCCCGCTTGCGCTCGTGAAACTCTGTATCGGTAACGTTGTTGCCATGCAAAGGATGCTCTTTTTCATACGAAGCAACCTCGGTAAGCGTTTTCTGGTACTCGGGTGACTGACGCCAATAGGCTTCAAAGTCGTCAGGAGTGCGAGGAACACGGCTCTCCATGCCTGCACGTGGCCGGCGTTCCTGGGGGTTGGTAACAGAGGTCAGGAAATCGCCTGTGGTTTGTCTCGGGGGACACTCCCAGCCCTGTCGCTCAAAGAAGGCTTTCGCCTCCGAAGTAGGTCCAAAATAAATTTGGCGGCCCTCGTAGAGTACCGACACCTTATCGAAGATGTCATAGATGCTCTGGCTCGCTTGGTAGATGGCAACTGCATGAGCGGAGCCTGTCAGATCAGCCATCAATCGCAGAGCCTCGACGAATTTCAGCGCCGTGGCCGAGTCGAGACCACGGGTCGAGTTATCCCATGCCGCCAAAGGTGCTGCGGCCAAAGTCATCTCGGCAATGCTAACACGCTTGCGCTCTCCTC